AAAATCTTTTATCATTTTTAATGTTACTGCATGTTGATTTTTATTCTTTTCTTGATTAGCCAACATAAACAGTCATAAAAACACACATAAAATCTATATTATATACATGTTCCTCTGCTCATAGATATTTTGACTTGAGCATATTTTCCTTTAATTTGAAATAGCCATGATTTTTTAACTTATCTTGGCTATCATGTTGGTTTTAGGTATGTTGGATATGGGAGCTATTATAAAACTCTAGAGAAGAATTGTTATTTTAATTATTTTGGCCTGGATCTTTTTGTAATCTTTAAGAATAAGTGCTTTACCACATGTACTTACCAGCAAATTGGTATTAACGGATCGACACCTTAGTGGACATATAGGAATAACATGTATCGGGTATTGGGCAGGTGGGAGGGGGGCTGAGGGGATGGGTATATACAAACACAATGAGTGAGATGTATAACATTTGGGGGATGGTCACGCTTGAGGCTCTGACTCGAGGGGGAAGGGGGCGTGGGCAATATACGTAACCTTAACTCTTGTACCCCCATAATACGCTAAAATAAAATAAAATAACTAAAAAAAAAAAGAAGAAATGCTTTATCAAATATCATTATAGAACCTTTTCATTTGCTGTTTTACTGGAACCAAAATCTTTTTATCAGTCCGGTGCTTGTGTTAAATCTGGCTTAACTGTGTGTATGTGTATTTCTTTTGTTTCACAAATAGTTGTTACAAATGGGAAGATGTAAGTTTGTTTTTCCTTTGGTCTCCATTCTGCTAAGCATTCTGTTAAGCATGATTCCACGCCTTCATTGCTGTCCTGCAAGGAGACTGCGGATGCCCTTGCATGTCCCTCACATGCCTCTTTGAGGCTTCAAAAGAACTCAAGAGCCTTCTTTTTATCTGTGATCTTCCAAAACGGGTTGCAGATATTAGAAATTTGTTGTCCTTCATAGTCCCAAGGTCTGCCAGTTCAAACCAACTGAGGCCTTTGTTGAAGTACTTTACTCAGGTCATACCATCCTTGCTCTGTCCGGGACAAACATTAGTCTCATCATTAGAAGCCTGTTCTGTCTGGAGCAAGCTGGGAAATTCTCTGCTAGGGCTCTAAGAATTGGCTAACTTTGGGCCTTTGGAAAGGTGGCTGACTTGATCTTATTTTCATTCTCTATCTCAATCTATTATTAAAATGAGAGATAATTAAGAGCTGGTCTACATTTTCCCTTATAGGATGCTAAATAATAGCTAGTGGTCTTTCCTGCTGTTTTGTAGGATGGAAAATGAATGAGAAAATGGGTCATTTAAGAGTATTTGGAACTTTTCCTAGACAAGAAGATGGAATATAGACATTGTTGTGCTCAGAACTTGTAGTTTCCCATATTTAAATGAAATGTTTCATTATAATTCAGAATCATTTCAGAAAGATAGAAAGTATTTAGGTCATTGGGAGGGAATTGTGCTGAGATGAATGGACGAGTAAATCAGTGAATGTTCCAGATAATCTAAACTCTGAAAATTTAGAAATATAAGTATACATCAGTTTTTAGAAGCACAATGTGACTACACTTTTCTTCCTTTAAATAGCAAAATCTGAAAGTACATGCAAAATTGTCTATGTGTTCATTTTTCTTGGGGAGAGAGTATATGGTCTTAATCAGATTCTTGAAGAGTTTTATGTACTATAGAAGATTAAAACCTGATATGTAGCTTCCTGAAGCCCTTTCATGTCAAATTACCCTTGGCTAGTATTTTTGTCCTCAAATTGTTTTTCTCCCTTTATATTCTGATGTTTAAAAGAAAGAGATGTAGGTGGGGCGTGGTGGTTCACACCTATAATCCTAGCACTCTGGGAGGCCAAGGTGGGAGGATCATTTGAGGTCAGGATTTCTCTACTAAAAATAGAAAAATTAGCCGGACATGGTGCCTGTAGTCCCAGCTACTTGGGAGGCTGAGGCAGTAGGATTGCTTTGAGCCCAGGAGTTTGAGGTTGCTGTGAGCTAGGCTGACATCATGGCACTCTATTCAGGGCACCAGAGTGAGACTATTGTCTAAAAAAAAAAAAAGAGAGAGAGAGAGAAAGATAGGAGTGCAGCAGTTCAGTCATAGCTCACTGTAGTCCTGACCTCCTGTGTTCACCTGATCCTCCCCCTTGGCCTCCCAAAGTGCCAGGATTATAGGTGTAAGCCAACACACTCAGCCCAAAATTAAAAAAGAAAGAGATGTAGATTTATGACAGAAGTCTTATCTACATTTCACAATTCAGAAGGAAACTGAATTGTGTTGAATTATAAGCTCCCAAGTGTCTTTTGGTTAAGGTGGCATGGAGATGCCTTAAGAAAACTTTTAGCAAGAGTGATGTAATTGAAACTGAGTAGGGTAGTGGGGCTGTTCAGAAGGAATCTGAAACATGCAATTCTTTGAGACAAGCAGGGGCTTTCAGACAGATACAGACACAAAGAGCAGCACTGTTTATACACATACAGTGTTTGTCCGGCTGGTGTGCCTGTGTTCTTGTACATTGGAATAAGAAAGGGCTCCCAGCCTGCCTTCTGTAGCGTCCTCCAGTGGAGCTGCCATTCTAGGGAAATGGTCTCCACGCCACATTTATTATTTTTGTTTTACTGCAGAAAAAAAATAGGCCTTATTGTTTGTAGAACTTGGTGTGTATGAGAAATTCTCAAAAGCATGTGGTGGATAAAGAGATTCATTACTGAGGGGAGATTATCTTCTTCACACTCCTGGCTCCTTAGAAACAATTTTAAAGAAATCACCCCTTTTTATTTTCAAATTCACCATAGCCATACTGTCTGCTTTTTGCCACCTTTTTGAAGTATTTGCCTAGCTCCTCACTCCTGAAAGGGCAGCACCAGCTTCGCAGGCAATGGAGAGGAGCCAGCCCAAACCGTTTAAGGTTCAAGCAGGTATTAATAGGCCAGTGCATATGCTTTGAATGTGAATGCTGCAATCAAATTTGTGAAGCCTGGATATTAAGAACCATCATGCTGGGTTTTGATAAACTAACATATTCACGTTTTCCCCAGTGAGATAGTAATAGTAGAGGAAAGAAGTTTCTCCTCTCTTTGAAAAAGCAAAATGTTTAATTTCTTATTTAACGGAGTCTCCTCAATTTCTCCATGAATATTTCCTTTGACTCTTTTTACAAATATAAATATAACTACCATAGATTATAAGTCAACATGGTACGTGCCTTAATTTTAAATGATATTGACAACTTCTTTAGACTTCTTTATTAGTAAAGAAAAAAATTCACATTAAGCATGAGTTAAATTATATCTAGACACTTCAACAGTTGAGATGTAGAATAACCATCTAAGAAACAGCATTTTATATGCACAGCACATTTAGATACTACTCAGAATACAGTTACAGCTGGGCATGGTGCTACACACTGCAGTCCCAAATTCTTAGGAGGCTGAGGCAGGAGGATTGCTTGAGCCCAGGAGTTTGAACACAGCTCAGGACATAGTGAGACCTTGTCTCTTTTAAAAAACAAACAACTTTTTTTTAATGCCTTCGTAGAATTGCCAAACTCTAGCCAAGAAAAAATTTTAAGTTGCCATTGAGCTGTCTTAAATGTTTTCTATACAATAATTATTTTCAAAATTTAGAATACAGTATTTGGTAACATGCCCTAAAGTTTATACATACGATGAAAGAATATGAAATTATAGCCAGGCTTGGTGGCTCACAAGCACCTATAATCCTACCACTTTGGGAGGCTAAGGCAGGAGGATGGTTTGAGACCAGGAATTCGAGACTAGCCTGGGCAACATGGCGAGACTCCATCTCTATAGAAATAAAAAAATTTAGCCTAGTGTGATGGTGTGGGCCTGTAGTCCCAGCTACTTGGGAGACTATAGCAGGAGGAACACTTGAGCCCAGGAGTTTGAGGTTCTAGTGAGCTATGATGATGCCACTGTACTGTACCCTGGGCAACAGAGCATGAACCTCTCTCTCTCTTTCTCCCCCTGCCCAACCCAGGAGTTTGAGGGTTGCAGTGAGTACACCAGTGTACTCTAGCTCAGGCAACAGAGCAAGAACCTGTCTCCAAAAAAAGAATGAATGAATGAATGTACTCTACCTCGGGCAACAGAACAAGAACCAATTAATCTTTCTGTCTGTCTGTCTGTCTCTCTCTATTTATATATATATATTTGCATACCAGAGTATCTGTTTATATTCTGGAGAAGTTTTTTACCTTTGTATCTTAACCTAAAAATGTAAATAAATTAAGCTAGGCAGACTGAGTTTCTTTTTCTTTTTTCTGGATCATGAACCCAATTTTGTACTGCATATCCATCTGAACTGCATAAGATGAGCAGAGGGTGAGGCTGTTGCCTAAGCTTCATAATCTTGGTTATTAAAACTTTTATCCATTTCACTAGAATATGCTGTTTGGGCTTTAAAGTAAAACAGCCTATTCTGTGAAAATCCCTTTTAATGCATTTATCTTTTTTGAGATTTGGCAACATGCGAGTAGGTAGTCTAATATATGAAGCTTCAGTGAGGAGGCTTCCTGTTACTCTATTACTGTTTTTCATTTCTGCTTTCTGTTAACATTTTTCAGCAGTCAAACCATCAGTTCTTTGTCTCCTTTTCCCAGCAATTCTCTATGTCATTTTTTTTTTTTTTTTTTTTTTTTTTTTTTTTTTTTTTTTTTTTTTTGAGTGCCGTGGCGTCAGTCCAGCTCACAGCAACCTCACACTCTTGGGCTCAAGCAATCCTCCTGCCTCAGCCTCCCAAGTAGCTGGGACTACAGGCACGCGCCACCATGCCCAGCTAATTTTTTCTATATATATTAGTTGGCCAATTAATTTCTTTCTGTTTATAGTAGAGATGGGGTCTCGCTCTTTTGCTCAAGCTGGTTTCGAACTCCTGACCTCGAGCAATCCGCCCGCCTCCCCATAGTGCTAAGATTACAGGCGTGAGCCACCACGCCCAGCCCTCTATGTCACATTAATGTGTTTTTGTGTTTGGGGCAATCTGGTTAGGCCTCAGACATTCCACAGCTACCTAGAGGACATCATCAACTACCGTTGGGAGCTTGAAGAAGGGAAACCGAACCCTCTGAGAGAATCCACTTTCCAAGACCTGCCTCTTCGTACTCGTGTGGAGATCTTGCACCGGCTCTGTGATTATCGGCTCGATGCAGATGATGTCTTTGATCTTCTCAAGGTGCTTTAACTGCCAAGCCCTTTCTCTAGAGCAATAAAAAGCCAGGAATCAGAAATGTAGTCAGAATGTAAAATCCAAAGATATTAAGAGAAGCCAGAGTTCAGCTTGTGGTACTAGAGTCTTGGGACTCTTCATTGACCATGACACTATGTAGAAAACCATGACCACTATGTAGCCAAGGAAATGGAGACATACATCTATATGGAAGTATGTTATTTTGGTTTAATTTCTAGTTTGGTTTTGTCTTCCTTTCCATGCACTGAGTCCCATCTGCAGTGGGAACAACCAGAAGTACACCAATTTATTCTCCTGTCATCAGCCAAAACTGCATCCAAATTAGCCACTGAATTTTTATTTGAACATAACTGAAATATTTATTAAAAACTGCAAGGACTTGAAACCATGTGTGCTAGTGAAATTCATACTCTGTATATATTATGTATGGAGAAGGAAGGAAGGAAGATGTAGCTATCTCTCCTTCCCCCTTATCCTGTTGTTGTTAACTGTTTTAGAAGTGCATCTCAGAGGTAGGGTGTGGGTTATTGGTTTCACTCACAGGGAGGTCACTTTCTAATTCTGTTCAGAGGTAAATGATTAAATGTGCTGATGACTTCTCAGTTCAGCTCCCTGCATGGACACGTTATAAAAATCATTGTGTAATTTAGCACAGCCTTTGCTGAGGATTCAAGGACTTCATAGCATTGGGAAGGCCAATAAAGGTCAGACCCTGGGGTGAATTGGGAGCTATACTGCTGCATCTCAGCTGGAATTGTTGGAATTGCTCAGGTTATAGTAGAGCTACAATCGAGTTCATGTGGGATAAAGCTTTCCCAATATCTGATTCTACTCTGTTGCAGTTGTCTTTCCTTTTATGTGTACACACATAAAATAAAAACTCTAGACCAAATAGATAAAATGTTCATCACTATTCCTTTTGGATTTTTTTAATTGATGAAAAGGGAGCAATGGTGGGGGTAGGAGCATTTGAGATATTTTTGTGTCTTATTATTAAAAGAAGGTGTACCACCTTCCCATTCTATCTGTTTCATATACCTCGATTGAAAATTACATAAGACGTGGGCATTTTAAAATATGAGGCATGTCTGAGTGTAAATTTTGAATCTTCATTCTAGTTTTCTCCTGTTGTATTTTGTTCCCCATTTCCCCAAATCCCTTTTTCCTGTTCTACCTAGGGTCTGGATGCAGACAGTCTCCGTGTGGAACCACTGGGTGAAGACAATTCTGGAGCACTCTATTGGTATTTCTATGGAACACGAATGTACAAAGAGGACCCGGTACGAGGAAAATCCAATGGAGAACTCTCTTTGAGCAGGTATCTTCTTTAATGTCAGGGATATGGTAGCTACTATATTAAAATGTTATTAATTAAATACTACAGCACAATTTTTTTTTTTGCCTGGTGGAGCAATTAGCTGTATTGACATGCCTTGCAAAGAGGTGGTAAGGAGTTATTTCATGTAAAAATAAAAAGGATTAATCTTCTGCTATCAGAATGGTGAAAGATACTGTCTTTTTTTTTTTTTTTTTTTTTTGAGACAGAGTCTTGCTTTGTTGCCCAGGCTAGAGTGCCGTGGTGTCAGCCTAGCTCACAGCAACCTCAAACTCCCGGGCTCAAGCAATCCTACTGCTTCAGCCTCCCAAATAGCTGGGACTATAAGCATGCACCACCATGCCTGGCTAATTTTTTTTTCTATATATATTAGTTGGCCAATTAATTTCTTTCGGGGTCTCGCTCTTGCTCAGGCTGGTTTCGAACTCCTGACCTCGAACAATCCGCCCACCTCGGCCTCCCACAGTGCTAGGATTACAGGCGTGAGCCATCGCGCCCGACCTGATACTGTCTTTTTTATCTGAGGTTCATTGGAGGTTCCTGAGGAGTGCCAGTACCCTTTCCACAGTCCAGTTTATACAGCAACTTTCTTTTTAGTGGTACAATCATTTCACTGTAGTGGCTTTCATCTTTTGTAGTCAATCCTTGAGAGCTCCTTTCTTTAATATGATTGCTTATCTACTTGAGGAACCTTAGGATCCATCAGTTTAAGAGCCAGGAGGAGAACCTTAAATGGTGCCTGAAAACATAAGCTTTTACTAAGTGCTTTCTAAGAGAGAATGAGCACTCATTTCCATAGCATCCCAGAAGGATGCTAACCACTTATGTAGGCTTTCTTATTGCTAGGAGCAGTGCTCACTATTAGGAAGGTGTTAGATCCCAAGCATGTTTCAATACTGCAAAATCTCAGCTTTCCTCAGTTCCACATTTTAATAATGAAGAACTGGAAGTTACTCTGCCCTTTCACTTTTACTGCTGTATTTAATCATTTTTTATAACATCATGGCCAGAAATACTATGATTACTAATTTTAAATCATGGGTAACATGTCAGTCTTATGCCAGAACATTTCTATTTAGTAATACTATTTCTTAGGGAAAGTGAAGGACAGAAAAATGTCTCAAGCATTCCTGGAAAAACAGGAAAAAGAAGAGGAAGACCCCCCAAACGGAAGAAACTACAGGAGGAAATTATATTGAGGTAAGAAAATCTTGTTACTCTCTTGTCATAGAAGGTGCATGCTGGAAGGGACCTTAATTTTCAATGTTCATTAATCCTTAATTTTTGCTGTGTCACGGGAAGCGCAAGAGAGTTATGGTTTGGAAACCCGAATCCGAGTCCTCATGAAATTAGCAAGTGTGCACTAAGAAACAGAAAGCCCTGGCTGCATCATCTCTAGCAAGTTACCTACACTCTCTAATCGTGTTCTTTTATTAGACTGTGGTTATGCATTTAATGAGGATTATATTGAATAAGACAATGCACACTGACAGTGCACATGACAATGTAATGTGTTCAATATGTTAACTCATAAAATTTTTTATACCACACTTTTTTCACAGCGTGGGAAGAGGAGCAAGTTACTTCTCTAGTTAAGTGTTGAATAATAATCAGCATTTTAAAAGAATGATGGCCCTTCCCCCTCTCCTCCCTTCCCCTTCCTAAAAAAAAAAAAATAAAAAAAAAAATAAAAAAAAAATAAAAAAAAAAATAAAAATAAAAGAATGATGTATCATATCTGAGTTTAGGAATTCTTTCCCGTTAAGGAGAATTTAATAGTTAACATGCCCAAACATGCTTTATTTTGAGTTTAATCAAATTTTCTTACAATAAACAGAAGGTAAAATCTTAAACTTTTTTTTATTCTTCTGTTTTACTATTTTTTATATATATATATATATATATATATATATATATATATATATATTTTTTTTTTTTTTTTGAGACAGAGTCTCACTTTGTTGTCCAGGCTAGAGTGAGTGCCGTGGCGTCAGCCTAGCTCACAGCAACCTCAAATTCCTGGGCTCGAGTGATCCTTCTGCCTCAGCCTCCCGAGTAGCTGGGACTACAGGCATGTGCCACTATGCCCAGCTAATTTTTTATATATATATATCAGTTGGCCAATTAATTTCTTTCTGTTTATAGTAGAGACGGGGTCTCGCTCTTGCTCAGGCTGGTTTTGAACTCCTGACCTTGAGCAATCCGCCCGCCTCGGCCTCCCAAGAGCTAGGATTACAGGGGTGAGCCACAGCGCCCGGCCTACTATTTTATATTTTAACAAAGAAAAAGATTCTTTACATTTGGGAAATTTTCTTATATCATTTTTTAGGAAATTCCACCATATGAATTTTGATACTTTGGGAACAGATCTATCAATATAAACCTATTTGAAGTAAGGCTGTATTCTTAATAATCCTAATAACACAGAACAAACAGCTTAATCTAAACTACTTAATCTAAATGTTTGAATTAGGCCAGATTACATTGTGTTGCTTCTTAGCACTAGGAAATATTTCTAGGAAATAAGATTATGATTATAGATCATACACAGTTTGGGGTTTTTTTGGTTTCTTAACTTGATCAGCATTCCACTTAACTTTCCAGAAATTTGACTTCAGATCACAGCTGGCTATTGCCAGCTTAGCAGCATCTGTGAGAAATGACCTATAATTACATGTGTTCTGTATACACAGCATCTGTATCTGTATTTTGCTAGCATTCTGCACATCCTCCTTTATTCAGAAAGTTGTTTTACATTTATCTCCATTTTCTTATAAGTATCAATGATTAAAGTACCTTAGTGTTGGGAATACAGAATCATTTTAAGCATACAGGTCTTGTGCTACCCTCTACTGGTGACTTTATTCCTTTATAGCTGTCTAGCTCCAGCAGTGTTTCAGTATTGTTAAATAAAATTTAAAATTCAGTTCTTCATTCACACTAGACATGTTTCAGGTTCTCAGTAGCCACATGTGGCTTGTGGCTACTATATTGGACAGCACCAACATAGGACATTTTTATTGTCACAGAAAGTTGCATTTAACGTACTACCACTTAGAAATTTGGCAACAAAATATCCAGAGAGTTTCTGTTTCAGGGATACAAATGAAAATGATACTTAATGCTATTGAGTTGTTCCTTTTTGCATTTTATAATTTAATTTCCAGCATTCCTATGAGGTTAGGCACTAATAATGGCCCCATTTTAGGGAAACTTAAATAATTTTCCCAAGGTCACATTTTAAGTGGCACATGTGCACAGGAGGTGGCTCTGATTCATATCCTCTACTTTATGTAAGGTTAAGTTAAATATACCTGTGTGTAGTGTGGCCCTGAGTCGAGGAGGAGGGCATTGTAATCCTGAAAGTTTTTCTTGGCATTTAACTATTAACATTTAACTCATCTGTTTGATTTCACCCCCCAAAAAAATTTTTAAGTTAATATTTTCTTACACGTTGTTGCCATGACATTGGGTAGCTATGTCAGTACTTAACCATCTACACCAGCCTGCCTACCTCTTAGTGTTCATTTATTTATAATTGTTCCCTCTGCTTACCTCACCCCCTTGACATTCTCTCTGTCTGTATTAGGTTAACTGGGTCTACCTTCTAGGGGAAGCATAGAACAATTTTGGACATGTCTTTGTTTTAATTGGTGCCACCTTTTCCTGTGTTTCAGTGAAAAGCAGGAAGAAAACTCCTTGGCATCTGAGCCACAGGCAAGAAATGGTAATGTTATTTGCTGAAGTTTAGAGTGGATGGAATAAACAGAATTCATTTATATTAGGATGGTGACTGTAGCCTTCAAACTAGCCTCACTACCCTTCCTCAGTTCTCTCTTCCTCAAACCTTACCCTGTTTTCATCCATTCATCTGACAGACAATTTAAGATCAGGACTAGTTCTTCTTACTACTGCTCTGTTAACTAGGCACAATGTAATAGACACGTAAACATTTGAATGAATGACCAGCTTCTCAAAGAGCTACCTTTTCAATGTTGGGGCATTATGGTTTTTCTGGTCAGTGCCAAATACTGGTTTCCTACCTAGATTTGTTTTGTTTTGTTTTGTTTTAAGACAGAGTCTCGCTTTGTTGCCCAGGCTAGAGTGAGTGCCGTGGCGTCAGCCTAGCTTACAGCAACCTCAAACTCCTGGGCTTAGGCGATTCTACTTGCCCGTACCTAGATTTTTAATTCTGTAATACAGATAGCATAAATTTGGGAGGGAAATGGAGGCTGACAGTATCACAGTGTAAGTGAGAGAAGGTGGACTCTGCAAAGGCTAAAACTCAAAAAAGCCATTTTTGTAGAAAAGTACATACCTTTAAGCATTTCTAGGATATTAAAATCTAATTAAAGTCACAGTAGTTATATTTGTATTATCTTTAGGTATTCCATAATAGGTCTTTTTTTCTGACTCCTTTGTTTTAGTTATGACCCAGGGTAGAAATAAAATTGAGAATAAATAGGAAAAAGGTCCTACCTAGTGAGATCTATTATAGTGAATCTATCCCTTTCTTTCCTAGGGTCCCAAGGGCCAGGCCAAGGCACTTGGTGGCTCCTATGCCAAACAGAAGAAGAATGGAGACAGGTCACTGAGAGTTTTCGAGAGAGGACCTCCCTTCGAGAACGGCAGCTCTATAAGCTCCTCAGTGAGGACTTCTTGCCTGAGATCTGCAACATGATTGCCCAGAAGGTATACAGACAGTAATGAGTACTGATGTTCCCCTCAGTTATGTATGATGGTATATTAGGATTATTAATTAGATCTTTCATGTACATTCATTCCACTGTCCTGAAAATAGAGCAGGCTTTCACCTTCTCTGAACTACTGTGTTTAAGTAGAAGTGCCCATCCATACTTAACAGTGGCTTCTCACAACTTCCTTCTCCTGTGCATTCCCTAAGGAATGTTCCCTAGGCCCCTGGGTGTGTCTCATGTCACCGTGTGCATACCTCTCCACTTACCACATTTTTATGCTTTTAAAAAAATCATCTGCTGGGTCTGTCTCTTCTAAGCAGCAAACTTTGAGGAGCATTTTTCTTTGTAGCTCTAGTGCCAGCTCTACCCTCTTCTCCAACGTCAGGGCAAATTATAGTTTCATCTGCTGTATGCCTTGTACTTTCATGGATACAGATCCTAATTCATGACATTTTCAAACATTGTTTCCCCTCTAGTTCCTCAGCCATTTGAAAAGTACTCTCTCAAAAGTCCCACTTAAAAGTCACTTTGCCCATGAATTGTCTTCATTTTTCATAGCCTTTAGGATTTTCTTCCTTAACATGTTTCCTTGTGCCTTACTTTATTTCATTATGAGTTTAAGCTTCTTTGGCTCAGGGACCAAGTCTTACTCATCTTTTTAACCCATGGCACTTCACGTAATGCCTTTTCTATGGTGGATGCTTAATAATCATTCTGTTTGCTTATTGCATATCAATAATGCTAACACTCGTGATTATTAATACATGTTAACAGAGCACCAGAAATATTTGACCACTTGCCAATGAAATATCAAGACACAGTATTAATAAATTACTGTTGCATTATCTACAGGAAAGTATAAAATGTCAAATTTATAACCTCATTTATTATGGATCCAATGATATGTTTGGTCTTAAGTAGGTTGATACATGAGGAAAAGTTGTAGAAATTTACCTTTCCACAGTAACAGGAATGTAAAACAGTGCTTAATGACTCACTAGTCATGGATGATGAAGGAAATCAGCATTTCCTGATCAATATACTTAATTCCATATAAGATAATTACATTTGGTTTTGATGATCTCTAACACAGTGCCAATTTTTCTAGAAATTGAAATATATAATCTAGTTTTCTTAAAGTAACTATCATACACAGCAATAGTCTTATGACTTTGTGTAACTGTGTATATGACTTTATTGATAATTGCAGTTCATGGCACATTAAATCATCTATAAGTTTACCTGATCAGCTTAAACCTTCTTTTATAATTTTGGTTTTACTGCAGTATTCAACCCAAGATATTTTTTTCTTTTTGAGACAGAGTGTCAGACACTCTGTTGCCCCGGCTAGAGTGCCGGGGCATCAGCTCACAGCAACCTCAAGCTTGTGGTCTCAAGCAATCCTCCTGCCTCGGCCTTCCAAGTAGCTGAGACTACAGACATGCGCCACCATGCCCGGCTAATTTTTCTATATATTTTTAGTTGTCCAGCTAATTTCTATTTTTTTTAGTAGAGATGGGTCTTGTAATCTTGCTCAGGCTGGTCTGGAACTCCTGAGCTTAAATGATCCACCCACTTTGGCCTCCCGGAGTGCTAGGATTACAGGCGTGAGCTACCACGCCCAGCCTCAACCCAAGATTTTTGAGGATAGCAGAATGAAGTAAAAAAAACTTACCAGAATAAAACTGATTGTTTTGATGAAAAATTTCAAGAATTGATTCTTTTCAGGAGAAGAAAGTTAAGGCTGGGTGCAGTGGCTCACATCTACAATCCCAGCATTTTGGGAGGCTGAGGTGGCAGGATTCCTTGAGACCAGCTTAGGTAAGATAGGGAGACCCCATTGCTACACAAAATTTAGCAATTAGCCAGGCTTAGTGGTTAGCGCCTGTAGTCCCAGTTATTTGTGAGGCTTAAGAGGGAGGATCACTTGAGCCTAAGAGTTGGAGACTGCGGTGAGTTATATGCTCGTGCCACTGCAGTCCAGCCTGGACAAGAGACAGAGCCAAGACACTAGTTCTCTTGAAAAATAAATAAATAACTGCTTTGAAGTATATACAGTTTTTATTTTTATTTATTTATTTATTTATTTTGAGACAGAGTCTCACTCTGTTGCCCTGGCTAGAGTGCCATGGCGTCAACCTCACTCACAGCAACCTCAAACTCCTGGGCTCAAGTGATCCTCCTGCCTCAGCCTCCCGAATAGCTGGGATTATAGGCATGCACACCATGCCTGGCTTATTTTTTCTATATATTTTTAGTTGTCCATACAGTTTCTTTCTATTTTTAGTAGAGACGGGGTCACACTCTTGCTCAGGCTGGTCTCGAACTCCTGAGCTCAAACAATCCACCCACCTCAGCCTCCCAGAGTGCTAGGATTATAGACGTGAGCCATCGCACCCGGCCTATACAGTTTTTAATTCCTTCCATTATCTTTGTTAACATTACCCATCCTAAACACATCAACCAAGAGAGATTTTGTTCTTTTTTTTTTTCTCCCTCCCCCCAAGATTTTGTTCTAATAATGAAAAATGTCTACAATTCAAACACAGATCAGTAGAAAAGAATGTGATTCTCACAAATCAACACCAGGACATATTAAAATATATTATATGATAGAGGCATAAGGAACTGGGCAGTGGGAAAAGGGTGAATGTGGTAAGTGGAAAAGTCAGGAGGCTTTCTTTGAAATTTAACTTGAATTGGGGTGCCACCCTGTCGTAGCTGTCCCTTGAATAAGTATACTTGATACCTCTCAATTTCAATTTTCTTATTAGTAAAATGAAATGCTATCACTTCAAACATGTTTTTGTGAGAATTAAACAAAAAGGACCCATGTCAGTGTACATAGCACAATCTTTAGCTATCAGTAGATACTTGGTTGGTCCTCTTCCATCGTCTGTGCAATGAGGAACCTTGGTAGAAAACTAAATCACATTTCTTAGCAAAATAAATACAAGAAGAAAGTCAAAAGATTTGATGCATCTTTGAAGATATGATAGCCTCTAAACTTTGAAATAATAAAAGAAATCAGAAGGTAAGGCATGTTGTGACCATATAAAATTTCTTTTTAAATAACCTTTTTTTCTCTTTTTAATGGGTGTGTAGACTGTTGGAAATGTTTGTAGCTAGTGTTATAGAAAGTAATAGTCAGAAAGCTTTATAAACATTAGGTCCCTAACAAATAAGTTGACTAAGGGTAGTTAGTTTCCACGGAAGGTAATGGTAAAGTGTGGCAGGAAGCACTTTCAGCCTCTGTATTGAGTAGTGTGTTCCTCTATAGTAACTTTCATCTGATTTGGCAAAGTTGAAGTGGAAATTTTGTTGTCTTTTGCTTTTATCACGGTAACTCATGTAATCTCTTTGGAAGACAGTTCCATGGTTAGTTGAGATTATCTTCCTATTAGGATCTTGAAGCTTATAAAAGAATTTCTTACTTATAGGCTTATTTGAGGAAACTTCTATAGGGTAGCTTTTGGGGGAAAGTACTTAAAGAAGGTCATGCCATCGTTTGATAACTGGCATTGCATCTGCGTTGGTAAGTAGTTCTTTCTCTTAGAAATGCTTTCTAAAGCTGCTGACCCATTAAGGCTACTCCCATGGCTTTTCAATGTGTTTGTATTATAAACCACCTGTTACCATTTTCTGTCCTTTGATTCCTTACCTCATTGATTCTTCAAGAAGTCAAGAGTTTGGATTAAGTGTCAACAAAGCCAAATCTGGAAAATGGTTGGTTGTTTTTGATGCTAAAGTCAGCGAAATTACATTGTCTTAAAGTGAAGGCTTTTGCTTACCCCCTTTTAATATTAGGTTTCAATTGGTGAAGTTACGGAGCTCATTCCACAAAAATTCCAGAACTTACATGTACTAATAAACCTTGGTCTTCAAAATACTTACCTAGTTTACATCTCAAAACTCCTTTGAAATTTCCTACAGTAGTTACTTTCAACCCTGTTGCATTTTCGCAGAGCTCTGATCTTTTCAGGTGCACTCTCAGACTCCTAATCACTAGTCTTTTTCTCACTCTTGCTTACTAGCTTTCATTCCCAGCCTGGGCAGCTGCTCTCACTTCTCACTGCTGCCGCTGAACTGCCTTGTGAAGGGGAGGTCTACCCTCAGCTGCTCATAAGTCCCTTTTTCAGAGCTATTCCCTTCAGCTGAAGGTGATAAAAAAGCTGGCTTTCTCTTAATAATTAGGGGAAAAGATATATTTTTTAAAATAATTAAACATGAAGGGAGTTTCTTACCAGTAATAAAGACTGTCAAAGGAGACACTTGGTTGTCGGTAAATATTTTTGTTTTTGTTGTTTTATGAGAATAAACTGGCTTAGTACCTTGCACAGCTGAGTGGTCGTTTTCCCTGATTGTCCTTGAGTGTACTTTGGCCCTCCCTCTTAGGTAAAGCCATTTCCTGTGCACCTTAATCGCCGTTCTTTTACTGGCGGAGGCAGCAGCAGCAGCAGCTGAGAACACCCTAATCTATCTTTTCCTTTATTTTCCTCACTTCTAACTATAGGGAAAACGTCCACAGCACACAAAGGCAGAGTTGCAGCCTAGGTGGTTGTCTGACCACCTGTCCGTCAAATGCATCAAGCAAGAGGTGAGTGTGTGTGAGAGTAGCCAGGAGGAGCTTTAGGTGTTCAGAAAGGATAGTTACATTTTATTTCATGTACTTCTTCCATTCTTCTTTATTTTACCTCATTTCTCCCCTAAATCTCAAACCTTTATTGAGAATTCTTATACTTTCTAGAAAGAGAAGGAACTGTAAAAATAAGGCATGAGGCCACACTCTTACAGTCTCCTTATATTTGGAATGATAGGTACATTTCTATTTTATCCAACATAGATGAGAATGATAGGTACAATAACAGATGTATGTGTAATAGAAGCTCATGAATGCAACGATGGAAGCATTTAGAGCTGAGCAAAGGAGAGTTGTAGCAAGGAGAGCTGTCATTGACCTCCACCTTGTGGGATGGTTAGTATTTTGATGAGGAGTATAAAAAAAGGGGTGGGGGCAGAGGGCATCCCACAGGACAGAAATAATAGAAACAAAAGCACAGAGGCAGGACATTGTAGAATGTGGTAAAAAAAAAATAGTGTATATTAGGATGTGGCTGGCATATTTTGTAATATATAGTAATAGTATAAGAAAATGCTGGAGTGATCAGATTCTATATCCTTATATCTTCAGTGGTCAGCCATCCTTATATCTTATATCTGTCATCCTTATATCTTCAGTGGTCAGTAGGAAGGAAAGTTATGTCATTAGATCTTTATTTTTTTAGGAAGATACCTCACTGGTTATCCTGTGGAAAATGGCTTTATAAGGAAAAACTGGAAGGTCAGACTGAGCTATACTTCAGCAAGAGTTAGCAGAAAAATTGCTGTGATTGAATGGAGGAGATGACAACTTCCCGAGGGTGGGAGGATTGTTTCAGTATACAATGATAGGTATAAAGGTCAGGTGGAGAGGTACTAGGAGTGAATAAAAGATGAGTTTTTATAGGTCACCGTATTTTCTGTCCTTTTGGGAAGTATGACCATGAAAGAAAACAATGAAAAAGTAAAGATAAAAAACGAAGAAAGCTTGTGGCAGGTTGGTTGGTTTGTTTCTAACTGGAGATAACAGCGTGGGTATGAAAATGCCTATGAATGAGAAGCAGGGTGGATCTGTCTGCTGTCTGGCAGCATGAAGTGCTTAAGTGTCAAGGCACCTCACCAAGGGGTGCAGTCAATCACAATTCTCCTGAGACACAAGGAAAGCAAAAAAGGATAAGTAAAGACACAAATCATTTGAAGGGGCAGAAAAATGTTTAGGTCCCATGAAGAAAGATAGGACCTCAGGTGGGAGTTTGAGATAGATGTTAGTTGAAAAAAGAGTGTTTGGGGCAACAACTCATTATTAATAGAAGGGTTTTCCAAGCAGCATCCAGGGGCCAACTATGTTTGGGTACTTTAATTTTCTATTAATAATAATGTAGTTTAAGAGTAGTTGAATGACATTATCTAGCATCATACTGTAGGAAGGGATGAATTCGGTATTTGTATTTATTGAGATTTAAAGTAAACAAGGTGAGAGTGAGATACGAGCCATAAGAAACCTAGATTGCTAGTAAGGATATGTTTGATGGGGGAGACAAAGAGGAGAGTGAAATTAAGGAAGAAGCAGCGAAGTAGAAGTGTGGAAAATCCATCCTCCTTGCTGCAGAAAGTCCAGGAAGCACACTGCACACACCTTCTCAGCCTCCTCGTCTCTCTAGTTTTTAACCATTTGTCTCCTTTGAGTACTATGTTTTATTGAATATTTAAACAGTTCAGTGGGCATAGAAAGTTTTACCTTAGGAGACAGTAGTTTTACTTTAGAGCATGTCTTTGACTGGGCTGTTAAATTTTTATTCACTTTATTATATTTTGATTTAGCCTTCTCCTCCCCCTCTCCCCTGCTCCTGGCTTTCTTGGGTTCTTTCCACTGTGTTCTTTCCACTGTCTTTATTGCCTTAACAGCTAACACCTGCAGAGAATCTCCCTTTCCTATTTTCTTTTCACTGCCCCTTAGATGCCCTATTTACACTTCAGACTGCATAGTAGTCAGAATGGATTGTGAGGTTCTTCATTGTGTCAAGCAGAAGTTTAGTATCAAACAATAAAATTTGTTCTTTTATTCTTGGCAGTCTTTTTTGGTTTGTTTTTTGTTATTCTGCTCTTACTTTGAGATACAAGAAATCATGGCATATAAAGATTCTTAAATATCTGTTGTGGCTTCAGATAATCTGGAGAAAACCTTAGTGGTGGCATGAGTTTTGTGCTTTTGTTTCATCAGCAAAAATCTTCAGGCATTTATTTATTTATTTATTTATTATTTTTATTGATTGATTGATTGATTGACAGTCTCGTTTTATTGCCCAGGCTAGAGTGAGTGCCGTGCCGTCAATCTAGCTCACAGCAACCTCAAACTCCTGGGCTCAAGCAATCCTACTGCCTCGGCCTCCCAAGTAGCTGGGACTACAGGCATGTGCCACCATGCCCGGCTAATTTTTTCTATATACATTAGTTGGCCAATTAATTTCTTTCTATTTATAGTAGAGACGAGTGTCTCACTCTTGCTCAGCCTGGTTTCGAACTCCTGACCTTGAGCAATCCGCACGCCTCGGCCTCCCAGAGAGCTAGGGTTACAGGTGTGAGCCACCGCGCCCGCCCAAAATCTTCAGGCCTTTAAAGCATGTAGTCACGGTTTCTGGCCTGTGTTGGTCACCCCCAGAGTTCAGTCTTACTGCATTTTCATTGTGACTTATGCAGAAAGTATCAGTGAAGGAAGAGTCTCATTGAACTCTGTTGTAGGAGTAGGGATGTAGTGGTTATTTTTGTAGATAGACTTTGGAGTTTTCTATTGTTATGGAGCTGTTTGTGGTGGTATGTTCTTTTCTTTTTTTTTTTTTTTTTTTTTTTTTTTGAGACAGAGTTTCACTCTGTTGCCCAGGCTAGAGTGAGTGCCATGGCGTCAGCCTCGCTTACAGCAACCTCAAACTCCTGGGCTCAAGCCATCTTTCTGCCTCAGCCTCCGAGTAGCTGGGACTACAGGCATGCGCCCCTGCCCGCTAATTTTTTCTATATATATTAGTTGGCCAATTAATTTCTTTCTATTTATAGTAGAGACGGGGTCTCGCTGTAGCTCCAGCTGGTTTCAAACTGCTGAGCTCAAGCAATCCGCCCATCTCGGCCTCCCAGAGTGCTAGGATGTGGTGGTATGTTCTTAAGTGTGCCCACAAGTCTGATAACCTCATAGGGTCAGGGGTGCGCATACGGGAGTCCTAAGCACTGTGTAGAACAGAGATTCTGTGAATAAACCTTGAGTGGATTTCTAAATGGTGTTTCTAATTAGCTTCTCATGAAAATGCCCCCTTGATTCTAGCAGGCCTCTTACCTGTAAAGCCTTTAAACACTAACCCTTGTCCCATTTGCAGCTGACCCTATTTTAAAGAAAAAAATTACAATGTAAGAAAGTAAATCATTCTACCATTTAGGGTTTATTTGATTACCATTCATTTGTTGTGCTGCTCTTTTTTTTTTTTTTTTTTTTTTTGAGACAGAGTCTCGCTTTGTTGCCCAGGCTAGAATGAGTGCCATGGCATCAGCCTAGCTCACAGCAACCTCAAACTCCTGGGCTCAAGCGATCCTTCTGCCTCAGCCTCCCAAGTGGCTGGGACTACAGGCATGCGCCACCATGCCCGGCTAATTTTTTCTATATATATTATTTGGCCAATTAATTTCTTTCTATTTATAGTAGAGACGGGGTCTCCTCTTGCTCAGGCTGGTTTCAACTCCTGACCTCGAGCAACTCCCCGCCTCGGCTCCCAGAGAGCTAGGATTACAGGCGTGAGCCACCGCGCCGGCCTGTGCTGGCTCTTTAATGGTTAAGACCTACTAAAAGTATGCTTACATAGTCCTGTCCTTTAGTGGTATTGTCATTAGCACTTGTTTTACCTTGTGGTGCCTAAGTGTTGAAAATTAGCACAGAAATTTAAAAACAGGTTGGATGGATGCAGTGGCTGACACCTATAATCTGAGTCGCTTGGGAGGCTGAGGCAGAAGGATGGCTTAAAGGCAGGAGTTCAAGATCAGCCTGGGCAATATAGCAAGATTCCCCACTTCCTCCCCCCCGCCCCCCCTCTACAAAAAGAATTTTTTTTTGAGACAGAGTCTCGCTATGTTGCCCAGGATAGAGTGCCATGGCGTCAGCCTAGCTCACAGCAACCTCAAACTCCTGGGCTCAAGTGATCCTCCTGCCTCAGCCTCCTGAGTAGCTGGGGACTACAGGCATGTGCCACCATGCCTGGCTAATTTTTTCTATATATATGTTAGTTGGCCAATTAATTTCTTTCTATTTAGAGACGGGGTCTCACTCTTGCTGAGGCTAGTTTTGAACTCCTGACCTTGAGCTATCCGCCCCCCTCGGCCTCCCAGAGAGCTAGGATTACAGGTGTGAGCCACTGTGCCCGGCCTTCTACAAAAAAATTTTTTAAGTTAGTTGGACATTGTGGTGCGCACCTGTAGTCCTAGCTACTCCAGAGGCTGATGCAGGAGGATCACTTGAACTCGGGGAATTGAAGGCTACAGTAAGCCTGCCTGAGTGACAAAGCAAGATCCTGTCTCTAAATAAATTTTTTTAAAAAAACTGTTTTAAATGCACAAGTTCTAACCTTTTGGTCCTTGAATGTGACTTTTAACAGGAATCAAATGGTGGAGGGAATACAAAGTTAATAAAAATTACATTACTTGACTGGGTGTGGTGGCTCACGCCTGTAATCCCAGCACTCTGGGAGGCCGAGGTAAGAGGATCACTCAAGGTCAGGAGTTTGAGACCAGCCTGAGCAAGAACGAGACCCCGTCTCTACTAAAAATAGAAGAGAAATTCATTGGCCAACTAAAAAAAATAGAAAAAATTAGCTGGGCATGGTGGCACGTGCCTATAGTCCCAGCTACTCAGGAGGCTGAGACAGGAACATCACTTGAGCCCAGGAGTTTGAGGTTGCTGTGAGCTAGGCTGACACCACGGCACTCTAGCCAGGGCAACGGAGTGAGACTCTGTCTCAAAAAAAAAAAACACAAAAAAAACCACATTAGATTACTTGAGAACATCTAATACTAGTGTTGATTCCCCAGTCTATTTGGGAAGGGATTGTTCTGAGTCCAAAAGAATTTACATTCTTATAGAAAACTTGGAGACTGCATTTAGAAACTGTAAAAGACATGATGATCCCACAATGCAGGAATCATTACTATTTACATTTTCATGGATTTGCTTTAGGCTTTTTCTCTATGGGATCATACTGAACATTCTGTGACATGCATGTTTTATGTATCTTCTGTGAATTTCATATTCATGTTCCATTTGTTGGGGAGCACTATTGATTTGTAATTTCTCTCTACATATTAAAAATAACAAGTCATTGTCATTTGTTATAAAGTTAAATGGATATTAGTAAGATTTATGTATTTGGCTCTTTTGTCCATTCTCCCCTCTTACATTGATTTAACATGAAATACCTCCCATGTTTGTCTACTTAGATAATCAAGTCTTCAGTGACTTAATATTTCATTTCATAAGTAATTGGCTTGCATTTCCTCAGTCCTCATTAAAATGCTGATCTTATTTAATATACTCTTGTACTGATTGAAGGGAAAATATTTCACATAATTATACCAGCTGTTCTCTGTGGGGAGGGGCAGAATGAATACATGTACATTATGTTATGATTTAAATAACTTATATTTGTTGTATATGCCTGTTTTTTTCTCTCATTTTTGTGTCTGTCATATAGAAATTGCTATTATTTTCTTTGAATGAAATATTTCCTTTAACAAGGTTCCATTTCCTCATATCTCTTCCCTTTCCCCTACTCTTGTTAATCAATTTATGTGGGTTTTTATTGTTTTTTATTTGTTTGTTTTTGAGTCAATGTACAACTGAAAGCAAAGGCACATTGTTTTGTTTTGTTTTTTACTTTGGTTTGTTAACTGTAGTTTCCTCATATGTTGTCAGCTGGGTAAAGATGTTGCCAAAGAGTTGGAGTAATGAAGGACTTGGGAAGTCGGATGAGGGTGAGGAGTGTTGGCAGAATTCAGGGAAGGTGCTGGACTGGCATTTATTCTGGCCAGTGGCCAGAGTTGCAGTCCTTGGAAGAATTGTACTTGCCAGTTGTCCATCGTATGCCCATTTCAGAATCAGCATCTACCATGTTTTAACTACCTGCTCTGGTTATATGCTAATGAAGATTTTAGGGAACTGAATTGAATTCTGTTTGTTCTGCTGAGACTCCTTGTGAGTGCAGTGTTGTATGTACAATTAACAGTGGCTAATTCTCTATTTTCATCTCTCCTCCTGGTCATTCCAGATGTTTACCTTGTCAACTCTTAATTAAAGTCATGCTCATAGAATTTGAATAATTGAAAAAAAAATGACATTGAAAGTCTACTGTCTAGACAAGACTCATGTCTAAATTGAGTCAAATGAGAATCTAAACTGGTTTTAAGAACCATAAAGAAAATAATAACACAATTTTAATCAAAAGCAGTTTCATTGTTTAACAGTAACTTGTATAAATGACAGTCTGCATTCGTCTTTTTTTCTCCCCGCATTAAGACCCCTTTTACAATTTACACCGTATAAAACCTTGGAAAATGTATCTGATATAAAAGTTTCTTAGGTCTTCTCCCTGTTGAAAGGGTCTGTTAACCACTTTGGGACCAGAGTCAACTGTAGTTGACAGCCACAGATGAATGCACACAGCGACTTTAGCCGACAGCCGTGATATGACTTTTCTAATTTTTCATTTATCAAAATTAAATTGTGAACATTTAAAAATAACGTAATGAAAACAAAAATGTATATGTTACCTATTCTGATTCACATGACAAGTAAAGCTGCCTGTAAAGGAGAACGAGCTTTCAGTGCTTTAAGGCTTTCCTCGTCACACAAGAGCAGAACGGACGCGTGGTCAACGCACAGCACAGACCACCGTGCGACTGTGAGTGCCGCTGCGGGCGAGGTGTCGCGGCCGGTGAGCGCCGGACCAAAGTGGTTAAAGAAAGCTTCACATTCCTGTTAGGTTTCACCTGAAACAGATAATTAAAATCTTTTCTGTGAGGGTAATGTGAATTCTCCCTCTGTTGACACCCTATTCATTTTTCTGTCTCTCTGCAACTTATGGATGTTGTTTATTGCAAACAACAGTTGTTACCTCTTCAATAACACTTAAAAAAGAGAGAAGTTCTAGCTTTCACATCAGCACAAAAGTTGAGGGAAGAAATTAAAAATAAGCAGCTTCAGTGTCCTAGGCTACAGCATGGCTCAGAACTAGTTTTACTGGAAAATGTGCATTGTAAAACTTCCCTTACGATAATTGTCCTGTTTTCCTTTGTTTATCTTTTCTTTTGTTAGATTTCTTAGACAATCACATTCTCAGCAACCACCTGAAATCTTTGCTAACATTGTTTGGCTTGAAAAACAAAGGAATATGATAGCCAGTCTTTGTGTAATTTTCATGAATTTCTCTTTTCTCTCTTTGCATCTTAAGCTAAAACAGTGGCCCTTACCACTAAAACCCCAATTTCATATTTTGTTGGTAATGAAAAGTGTAAAAAGGTAAGAGTTTCAAAACCATTCGTAGTGGGGCTGGGCATGGTGGCTCACACTTGTGATCCTAGCACTCTGGGAGGCTGAGGCAGGAGGTTTGCTTCAGCTCAAGAGTTGGAGACCAGCCTGAGCAAGAGCGAGACCCTGTCTCTACTAAAAATAGAAAGAAATTAGACGGGCAACTGAAAATATTAGAAAAAAAAGCCAGGTGTGGTGAGATCTACTCCCAGCTATTCAGGAGGCTGAAGCAGGAGGATCATTTGAGCCTAGGAGTTAGAGGGTGCTGTGAGCTAAGCTGACACTATTGCACTCTGCCGGACAATAGAGCAAGACTGTGTCTCGAAAAAAAAGAAAATCGTGCGTATTACTGATATTGGGAGTATGCGGTCTGTCCAGTGACTATCTTTCATCCTTAGTGTACTTAGAGGAAGGTGGTTTTTTTTTCAAGTTTATCCAAAATTAAATCTAAAAGAATGCTGTCTTTGTTAGTATCAATTTATATAACCATACATTTATTCTACAAATAATAAAATCAACTGGTAGTTAAGAAATAAATCCTCTAGCTAACAGTAGGTATCTAGTAATATTTATGGAATATGTTGAAGTCAGTAAATTGAATCTGAGGGGGCAGAACTGATCTCACTGTGTACTGATGTATACTCCTGCATACACAGGAGACGCCTGTGCTCACCAGAATAGAGAAACAGAAGCGCAAAGAGGAGGAGGAAGAGCGTCAGATTCTTCTGGCAGTGCAGAAGAAGGAGCAGGAGCAGATGCTGAAGGAAGAGAGGAAACGGGAATTGGAGGAGAAGGTCAAGGCGGTGGAAGGTACGTGTGCTCTCGGCGCAGTATGGAGAGGGAGGTGTATGTGGCGTGGCCCAGTGTCCGCAGAGCCACGGCCACTCCAGGCTAGGTGCCGCCATGTATCTGAGCTCATTCTGGTGTATAAATGACAGTCTGCATTCATCTATTTTTCTCCCTGCATTAAGACCCCTTTTACAATTTACATAGTATAAAACCTTGGAAAATGTATCTGATATAAAAGTTTCTTAGGTCTTCTCCCTGTTGAAAGGGTCCGTTAACCACTTTGGGACCAGAGTCTGTGTACATACTTTGTGCGTTGTATTTTGTCATGTTTATTCTCCTGTATCCAGTCTCACTGCCTTTTTATTCCTTCTGAAGCACTTGTCAGTTTCGGTGTGCCTTTCAGTGTCTTAGTTTATTCTAATCTCTGCTATGCCCCCTGGGTGGAATAAAAAAAAATGTATTAAGATATTGATGAGAACTGATTTCACAGATATAATTTCAAGCACAAATGAGATATATTTGAGCCTCAGGTTTTTTTAGATTTGGCACTCTTCAAGTCCAGAATATTACCATTAATGTTATTATAGCAAATAGTTTTCTCAGACCCAGGTCTGGATATTGGTCTTAGGATAATGAGATTTTTCTTATGTTTGTGGTTCCACAAAGGTAAGGATAACTAACTGTCCTTAGGTGTTTTCTTACATAACAGTTGTATTTATAAGGTGAACCTGACAATATCATATGAAAACAGATCATTTGACATGGTTGAATATAGACTAAAGTTTATCTTTTCTTTTTCTTTCTTTTTTTTCTTTTGGCTGAGAATTTTTGTTCCAAATCTTTTCTTTTAAATGTATTGAATCTTTGTAATTTTTTAATAAAACAGTATAGTATATGGGATTTGACTTTTTTTTTTTTTTTTTTTGAGACAGAGTCTCACTTTGTTGCCCAGGCTAGAGTGAGTGCCGTAGCGTCAGCCTAGCTCACAGCAACCTCAAACTCCTGGGCTCAAGCGATCCTACTGCCTCAGCCTCCCAAGTAGCTGGAAGGAACTACAGGCATGCGCCACTATGCCCGGCTAATTTTTTGTATATATATTTTTAGTTGGTCAATTAATTTCTTTCTACTTTTGGTAGAGACGGGGGTCTCGCTTAGGCTGGTTTCGAACTCCTGACCTTGAGCAATCTGCCCATCTCGGCCTCCCAAAGTGCTAGGATTACAGGCGTGAGCCACCGCGCTCGGCCCTGGATTTGACTTTTTTAATGCAGTGTTTCAGTGTAAAATTTAGGTAAATTTTGGCTATGAAAATTGAAGGATCCTGGCCTTATGTACTTTTTTCCTCCCATTTCTAAATAGTAGTTTCTGTTACTTAATATGTTAACCCCATTTCTTCATTCTAAAACCTTTGGTGTATGTCATCTACAGATTTAGCCTGTATGCTGGTATGTAATACTTGTAAGGTCTTTCATAGGACCTATTTCTGATGCTAGATTTAAATTCCTCAAGATATAATAACTGGCTTTTCTTTCTTTTTTCTCCCTCTCAAGATTTCTGTATATTGCCCAGGCTGATCTGAAACTCCTGAGCTCAAACAACCCTCCTGCCTCAGCCTCTTCTGAGTAGCTAGACTACAGGTGCATACCACCACACCCAGCTTATTTCTTTGTATTTTTAAATGGGATTTTGTTTTTCAATAGAGTTCTGACATAGCTTGAAATGGTGGTACCACCTGTAGCCTTAGCTACTCAGGAGGCTAAGATAAGAGGATCATTTGAGCCCAGTAGTGTGAGTCCAGCCTGGGCAACATAGCATAACTATCTTAAAACAAAAAAAGGTAACACAATGAAAGTGACATTTAAATAGACTTATCAAGAAAGTTCTCTTTGAAGATGTGACATTTTAAAAAAGTGAATGAGGTTGCCACATGAATACCTGATGGGGCAAGAGCATTGCAGGCAGAAGGAATGGCGTCTGATAGGCACTGAGACGGGAGTGTGCAGCAAGTAGACTAGTGTGGCTGGATCAAGGTGGACAAAGGGAAGGCTGGCTGGACATGTGGCCTTGCAGGTGACCAGGCACCAGATCAGGTTGGGCTGTGCAGACCTGTTAGAAGGATTAAATGAAAACAGGACAGTCCCAAACACACAGCAAATTACAAAGGATAGTTATTGTGGAAAGAATTACAGGCCAAAAGATAGTTACAATAATAAACTTACAGACTTTTTAGTTGCTTCTAACTATAAAGAGAGAAATAATGGATTATGTACTAATAGGATAGTTTTTAAATTATAACAGTTTATTCAGAGAAACAAGCTCTGTATGACATTAAATTCTAAGAGGATTTCATCCTTTGGGTCCTTTTAAGATAATATTTGTCTGTGTTTGAGGGTAAATGTAGCAAAGAACATAGCTTCACTCTGTTGCATGCCTCTGTTTATACTCTCATCTCAACAATGCTGCAGTTGCTGGTCTGGGAGTCCCCTGAATGTGTTTGCAAAACTAATGTGCTATGGTATGAATGCATAATTCCAAGGGGAAGGTTCATAGCTTTTGTTTGGTTAAAGAAATTTGAAAGGAGGGAAGTGGATGAAGAAAACACAGAAGCCAGAAAGTGGAAACAACCTAAGTGTCTTTCGGTGGCTGAATGGATAAACAAAATGTGATATGTACTTACGATGGAACATTAGTATTATTCAGCCTCAAAAAGGAGTGAAATTCTGAAATATGCTACACATAGATGAACCTTAAAGATACTATGCTAAGTGAAATCAGCGAGACACAAAGGGGACAAACATTGTATACTGGAGGCTGAGTGAGAAGGAAATGGGGAGTAGTGTTTAATGCATACAGAGTTTCTGTTTGGGATGATGAAAAAGTTCTGGAATTGGATCATTGCTTATGTAGATAATGTACTCTTAACATGATTAAGGCAGTACATTTTATGTATTTTTTACCAAAAATTTAAAATGCCACAACAGAAAAAAATCAAGGGGAAAATAAATGTACTGCTGTTGATTGGTATAGAAGACTGGGTTATGACCTGAGTATTCATGCTGAGTCAGAGAAGTCAGTACAGTAATGGACATTATTGAAACTAACTGATTCTGTCAGTATGGTTGATAAGTAACCTAAAAATTCTATTTCAGATAATGGAAATCCTATTTATAATATCTATATGTTATGTACATGTGTGTTATGTTATTTAAATTTTTGGTATACCTGCCGTCAGAAGTTTTACTTTACCTAATAACTGCATAAATATCCTTTTGAAGAGCTTAGCTTAATTCTTTACCACAAGAAGGAGGCCAGGAGGTGGGACTGGAACTGGAAAGGGCCGACAAGGTGAGTGGGGAGTGGTCATTCTCAGGACTCTACCTTTGACAGTCCTGCTGAAAAGGAATAGGCAATTAGAATTTCAAAGCACATGAGGAACCTCCATTGTGAACAATAGTTGGCTGCAAAAAAAAAAGAAAAAAGAAATATATTTTGCATTATAAAAAAGAAGGAATTGAAAACAAAGAGAAAAAATAACCAGATTCAAAGGAAACTACTAGAACTTCTAGAAAGGTAAAGGATGGCTACTTTACCTTTAGTAACTGGGTTAAATAGCTTAGATTCTCATGAGACTCAGTTAAGGGAGAATAGATGTGGGAAGTTAAATAGACTGCAGCTGTGAGATAAAGAGGGATGGCTGTGGAAAAAGAAGTCAGGGTGCAGTCACAAAAACCAACAGAGAGAACTTCATCAAGGTGTTTGGTTAAATGTGAGTTAGAAAAATACAAAGGTTAAAAGTGACACAGGAGGCAGTCCTGCAGCAGAGGGGCATGGAGGGGGGTGGGCAGCATCTGGAAGCCCAGGAGGGGCTCTGCAGAGCCTGGACCTCAGGCAGTTGAGGTTGAGTGCTGCTGCCCTGTGCTGGAACCGGTGAAGGCGCACAGCCAGCCTGCTTCTGAGACCACTGGGAGAACCTGGTGAGAGAACACTGCTGGTGTGGTGGTGAACAGCCACAGAAAGCAGACCAGCAGGGAGAAAGTCACCTTCTTCCCTCATCCTGCCTCCGGTTGTCCCTTTAGCGCTCCTTTCAGGCAGAATATAAAGCCAAGTGAGAGTGGAGAAATGATATTTGTAAGATCCCTGCCCCAGTATCACAAAGCAGAATGTGGAAGATGGATTAGAACTGACAGAAACAGCTTTATAACTGACTCAGGTGGTGGATAGCTTGAAAGGTCCAGTGTGTGTTTGTTATTAGTTCTAAAAGTAAAGAATTAATATAGTAAAGCCAGGAGAACATTGACATATAATATTTGAGTATTTTTTTGATTTGATGAAAAAAAACCCAAATCCTCAGATACTAAAAGCAAGAAGAGATGTAAACTGGATATAAATCACATGTAGACATGTGGAACCAAATTATAGAATACATGGCTCACAGAAATTCAAAACAACCAATTTGGAAAAGACATTAGAAGATGTTCTGTAATACTGATAGCAGACTTCCTAGGAACAACAGTTGAATTCAAAGAAAATAGGCTTGAATTTTATATTAGTTTCCTAGGGCTACCATAACAAATAAACATAAACTAGGTGGCTTAAAGTAACAGAAATTTGTTCTCATGCAGTTCTAAAGGCTAGAAATTCAAAATCTAGGTGTTAATGGGGTCACAATCTCTGAAAGCTCTAGGCAAGAAACCTTCCTTGGCTCTTCCGGCTTCTAGTGGTTTCTGGGATTCCTTGGCTTATATTAATAGCAGTCTTGCAAACTTGGTATGGAAAAGGACTTCCTTAATCAGTGTCTGTTAACAACTTAAGGAAATATTCTACTTAATGGAGAAACATTAGAAATATTCCCTCTGACGTCAGGATAAACACAAGGATTTCCTCTGTCATTGCTTCTATTCTGTATTGTAGGGGTTTAGTTTTACAGAGAAAAATGTGGATATATGTATGTATATAAAGACTGGAAACTAGGCTAGGGGAGGTGGCTCACACCTATAATCCTAGCACTCTGGGAGACTAAGGCAGGAGGATTGCTCAAGGTCAGGAGTTCGAAACCAGCCTGAACAAGAGAGAGACCCCATCTCTACTAAAAATAGCAAGGAATTAATTGACCAACTAAAAATATATATACAAAAAATTATCCGATCATGGTGGCGCATGCTGTAGTCCCAGCTACTCTGGAGGCTGAGGCAGAAGGATCGCCTGAGCCCAGGAGTTTAAGGTTGCTGTGAGCTAGGCTGATATCACGGCACTTTAGCCCAGGCATAGGGGGGAGGGTAGGTGGAGAGCAGACAATTGGTATGCACGGACAACTTTGTAAATGTAGAATCTCAAGGGCTTGAGTGTACATGGAGAAAATTCGTGTGTGTTTAGACTGAGAATCTAGTCCTAAAACAGGAGTGTTTCTGTTTTGAGAGAAAGGCCTCTCTTTTTCTTCTACTTTCATATTTCTGTTTTCTTCTGCCTTGCTCCCTCCTCACCCTATGCATACTTCATCCTCCAACTTGAGCTCAATATGAGGAAACAGTTGATAATTTACGTGAAACACTCCACCTAGAGAAACATCATAATTACCAAAAAGAGAGTGGCAAAGGGAACAAACATAATTTTGTGATACTGCTTTGGTGGTCTTTGTTCTTCCTTCACTCACAGTGATTAATGAACATGTAATTAATTGTCTAGAGTGTAGTTAACTTACTCATGTCATCATGCTGTGTGTTCACCGTAGATCGCGCTAAGAGGAGAAAGCTCAGGGAAGAAAGAGCATGGCTGCTGGCACAAGGGAAGGAGCTCCCTCCAGAACTTTCCCATCTGGACCCCAGTTCCCCCATGAGGGAAGAAAAAAAGACCAAGGACCTGTGAGTATTTAATAACAACAGTAACAATTAGTGACATTTGTTAAGCACTCCGGTACTGCTGAGCTCGTTTCTTATTTGAATCCTTTTGACAACCCTATGTGGCAGGTAATAGTATCACCACTTGAAAGGTGAGAAAACATAGTGAGTGACAGCAGTGGGCATCAGACTCACAGCTGCCTCTAATGCCCTTTCCTGCCATGCACACACAGACACTCTGAGCCCTCTGACATTTTTGCCATCACATGCCAAAGCAGCACAGATGAGACTTTCACACAAAGTTCTTCTTTCCCCAGCCTTATAATTTAATGGATCATAGTGAATGATTGATATGTAAAGTTGTTGCTTGGAAATGTGAATAGCAGTTTACTCTTTTTTTTTTTTTTGGAGACAGAGACTGGCTTTGTTGCCCAAGCTAGAGTGCCTTGGCATCAGCCTAGCTCACAGCAACCTCAAACTCCTGGGCTCAAGCAATCCTCCTGCCTCAGCCTCCCGAGTAGCTGGGATTATAGGCATGTACCACCATGCCCGACTAATTTTTTCTATATATATTTTTTTAGTTGTCCAGATAATTTCTTTCTATTTATAGTAGAGACGGGGTCTCACTCTTGTTCAGGCTGGTCTCAAACTGCTGACCTTGAGTGATCCACTCGCCTTGGCCTCCCAGAGTACTAGGATTACAGGTGTGAGCCACCACACCCTGCCCAGCAATTTACTCTTTTTAAAAAATTTATTTCTTAGGATGTTACTATAGGTATGTGTTTCCTTACTAAAAATTCAGGAGGCAAGTAAATATTCAACATTTGCAGGCTCATTCTGTTGTGTGCTTTTTTGGGGTTATTTAGATCACAAAAATGAAGCCTGGCTAAGAATGTGCTATTAAATAACTAATGTTATAGAATGATAAAGTTCTGGATCATTTAGGCCAACCCCATCCTTTTACAGATAAGGGTAATGATACCACTTTTTTGCTGAGGTATACTGTCCCTCGTCTTGTTTGCAGAGAATTTTATGAGTGTTACAGGCTTATCTAAAAACAAAAATTATTGGGACAATTCCCAGTCTTAGTTCAGCCAGCTGTGTGTCTGTGATTGACCTGAAAGAGCTAAGAGAAGGTGGTCAGAGTTACTATTAATTTCTTATTTTATGATTTACAGCTTTGAGTTGGATGACGATTTCACTGCCATGTATAAAGGTGGGTTCTCACTCAGCTGTTATATTTCCGATAGAAGTATTCCTGTGTGAGTGTGTTAATGAATTTCTCTTCTTTGGCTCTCAGTTCTAGATGTGGTGAAGGCTCACAAGGATTCCTGGCCCTTTTTGGAACCTGTTGATGAATCTTACGCCCCTAACTATTATCAGATTATTAAGGTAGAGGCTGTCTTTGCAATTGTACTTACTGTAGCATATGTATCTTTTCTTGGGTCTTGTTGTTTGTGTCTTATTTTGTTTAAGTTTTGTTCCTTAAGGATCAGCATTGCTAGATATACACCAGGTCCTTGAGCAACTTACAATGTCATCATTTCTTTGCCTAATAGAGACTAGGAGATGTTTTTCTCTCCAGTGTATTTTAATTAAAGAGTTATGTGTCCTATTTAGGTCCCCATGGATATTTCAAGCATGGAGAAGAAACTGAATGGAGGTTTATACTGTACCAAGGAGGAGTTTGTCAGTGACATGAAGACTATGTTCAGGAATTGTCGAAAATATAATGGAGAAAGTAGTGGTAAGTGGGGAAGGAGATGCACATCTGCTGTACCTTTATAATCAGGAATAACATGCCTTCTCTTTCAGAAATACACATCCTAGTGATTCAGACATTTCTTGAGAACTACTGTTGTAAACCAGTGAATCAAGGGGACTTGGACACCAGAATCCAATCAGCTAAATTAGTTTGTTTTTACCTGCACAAGGATGTCACCACTCCATGCAAGGAGAGAGAAGCAGCCCGCAACAAAGCCTTTGCATTTTTTCTTATGCCCTCGGGCATACCTTGGCAGCTATGCAAGCAAGCAATCACAGAAAATCACAGAAGCAGAACTTTGCTGTTAGCGGTTAGTTAAGCGAATAATGGAAAGGTACACTAAGGGACAAGGGACTTTTCCTGGAACAGGACCCTCTATTCTTTTTGAGAACAGGCCTCCTCAACTCCCTCCTCCTTCCTCTAGGAACTTTCTTACCCGACCGTGTTATAGTTAGAGCAAGACTGACTCCATTTTAGATTTCCAGGAGCCATCTTTAGTCTGTCTACTTCACTACAAACAGAATGTGTATTAAGAGCCCTGGGATTGGGCATTACAGCCACTTACACAATGTGTGTCGAGAACTCTTCTCCGGCCAGGCGCGGTGGCTCACGCCTGTAATACTAGCACTCTGGGAGGCTGAGGTGGGCGGATTGCTCAAGGTTAGGAGTTCAAATCCAGCCTGAGCAAGAGGGAGACCCCGTCTCTACTATAAATAGAAAGAAATTAATTGGCCAACTAATATATATAGAAAAAATTAGCTGGGCATGGCGTTGCATGCCTGGGCGGCATGCGACTTGGGAAGCTGAGGCAGGAGGGGATTGCTTGAGCCCAGGAGTTTGAGGTTGCTGTGAGCTAGGCTGATGCTACGGCACTCACTGTAGCCTGGGCAACAAAGCGAGACTCTGTCTCAAAAACAAAACAAAACAAAAAAAAAACTCCTGTCCCCTGAGACAAGTGGGTAACTGGGCACAGGTTATTTCTCATCCTAGAGGCCAGTGGGGATCTAGGTTGTACTGTACCTCTTTCACTACTGGCAGGGGTGAGCCGCCTAGATGGAGCTTATTGTAAAACCGTTTGGAGAAGTTAGCATAGTAGATCTCTAATATCAAGGTATAAATGGACTCCAGGTGTACTTAACCTTGAAGTCATTTATGCATTAACTCAAGATGCCTTATTTTTATTTTATTTTATTTTATTTATTTTTTGAGACAGACTCTCACTCTGTTGCCCCAGCTAGAGTGCTTTGGCATTAGCCTAGCTCACAGCAACCTCAAACTCCTGGGCTCAAGTCATCCTTCTGCCTCCCGAGTAGCTGGGACTACAGGCATGTGTCATCATGCCTGGCTAATTTTTTCTATTTTTGGTAGAGACGAGGTCTTGCTCTTGCTCAGGCTGGTCTCGAACTCCTGAGCTCAAATGATCTGTCCACCTCAGCCTCCCAGAGTGTTGGGATTACAGGTGTAAGCCACCATGCCCGGCCTTGGATGCCTTATTTTAAAACTAAGCAGATTGCCTTCAGTATTTCTTCAGTTTAGCCTTAAAAGAGTTAAAATTTTACTGGTTTGAGATAATACTCCTGCAGTTGATGTCCCAGCCATACAACATGAACTGTTGTCTTCTTCACCTTGTGTCCATAGCTCTACAACATAATGTGCCATAACAGTGAACTAAAGTTTACCCCAGGCCAGGCACAGTGGCTCATATCTATAACCCCAGTACTCTGGGAGGCCAAGTTGGGAGAACATTTGAGCCCAGGAGTTCAAGGTTATGGTGATCTGTGATCACACCACTGCATTCCAGCATGGGCAACAGAGCAAGACCTGTCTCTTTTAAGAACAACAACGACAACAACAACAAAAAAAAATCTAGAAAAACCAAGCTTCACCCGAGTTGCGTCTTTTATATATTAGACTTGTCTTTTGTGGCCTATGAAAATTATACTTACATTAAATCTTTCTATAGAATATACCAAGATGTCTGATAATTTAGAGAGGTGTTTCCATCGGGCAATGATGAAACATTTTCCTGGCGAAGATGGAGACACAGATGAAGAATTTTGGATTCGAGAGGATGAAAAGCGGGAGAGAAGACGGGGTCGGGCCGGACGCAGTGGTGGAAGCCATGTTTGGACCCGCTCCAGGGACTCCGAAGGGCCCAGCAGGAAACAGCAGCCCGTGGAGAACGGAGGAAAGTCGTTGCCCCCTGCACGCCGAGCCGCCACCTCCGGGGATGACCAGGGCAGCAGCTCCACACAGCCCCCTCGGGAGGTGGGCACTTCCAACAGCAGAGGCTTCGCTCGCCCCCTGCACTGTGGCGGGATGCCCAGCCAGACGCCCTTTTTAAACCAGATGGTAAGGAGCCACTTAAATTCTGTTGTGGCTTCACCTGGTGGGTGAATTCATGGGGATATAGAGGCTATTCAGTCAGCACTGCTTACAAAATAATTCTGTATGTAGAAAATTTCTTTTTTCCCATTAGTGCTTTATTTTATTTTATTCGTTATTTATTTTTTTATTTTTTGAAACAGAGTCTCACTCCGTTGCCCTGAGTAGAGTGCTGTGGCGTCAGCCTAGCTCACAGCAACCTCAAACTCCTGGGCTGAATTGATCCTCATGCCTCAGCCTCCCAAGTAGCTGGGACTGCAAGTAGCGCACACCACCATGCCTGGCTAATTTTTTCTATTTTTAGTTAATATGGAGTCTCACTACTTTCTCAGGCTGGCCTCGAACTCCTGAACTCAAGCAGTCCTCCCTCCTCAGCCCCCCAGAGTGTTGGGATTACAGGCATGGGCCACGTAGCTGGCCTTTTATTAATTTTAAATCCTCCTTTTTCTCAATAATTTGAATCATATATTTTCAGTGTGGGCAAAAATTGTGATAAACAACTTACTCTCTTTGTGTTTTTGATATATAACCAACACATTGTATCTGTGGTAGTAAAATCTCATGGGAGGGGGGGACAGTTGGGGGAAAATGGCTAAAAAGGCTGCTTGTTTGGGGAGACCTGTAGGGAATGTTGATCAAAAAGATGGAGAGACACTGCTTTAATCCTGTGTTTCCTGGAGAGGAAGAGGGAAATCGCTCTGGCTCAGAGCTAGTCTTGCTGCAGGCGGGCCCATGTGGTCACTGTCTTCCCTTTCTGTTACTGCATGCTGAGTCCTTAGTCGTCTGTGCTCTTTTAGTAGTAGGTTCATCTTTAGGAAAACCCCCGTTCTCAGCGTCATACCGGTGCTTTTTCTTTTTTCCCTTTGTTGCTTTACTCGATGCTTCTCAGAGGCCAACAGTACCAGGAACATTTGGTCCTCTTCGAGGATCAGATCCTACCAGTTTATATGGTTCCTCCGGAGTCCCAGAACCACACCCTGGAGAGCCTGTTGTACAACAGCATCAGCCTTTTTCCATGCAGGTAAGCAGCCTACTCAGAGGATGCAAGTGCAAAGGGTGAGTTTCAGAAATACAGTCTGTTCCCAGGTTAAATTCAGTTTATTTTCTCTCGTCATGAAGAGACAGTTTGTCTCCATAGTTTAAGCACATTACAGGGTCTGTCTTGCTCTGTGATTCTGGTTAACTCTGCTGTGGACCCTTTTCTTGTTGCCAGCCTCCAGTTGGAATTAACAGCCACCAAGGACCTGGGCTAGGCACGCCCGAAGAGAAGCAAATGTGTGGAGGCCTGGCACACCTTTCTAATATGGCACCACATCCTGGATCCTTGCAGCTTGGGCAGATGAGTGGGCCTAGTCAGGATGGAAACTTGTATCCTGCAGCTCAATTCCAGCCAGGATTTATTCCTCCCAGGCATGGCGGCACTCCAGCCCGACCCCCAGACTTTCCTGAAAACACAGAAATTCCTCCCAGCCACGTGTATCGATCATACAAGTACCTGAATCGAGTGCACTCTGCTGTCTGGAATGGGAACCATGGTGCTACTAATAACCCAGGACCCTTGGGGCCAGATGAGAAGCCTCTCTTAGGGCCAGGACCCTCTCACCAGCCTTGCACTCTTGGTCACATGATGGATTCCCGGGTGATGAGACCACCTATCCCCCCAAGCCAGTGGACTGAACAATCAAGCTTTCTACCTCATGGAGTTCCTTCTTCAGGGTATATACGACCACCCTGTAAGTCTGCTGGACATCGGTTACAGCCACCTCAAGCACCAAGTTCTCTGTTTGGAGCACCCTCCCAGGCTCTGCGGGGGGTGCAGGGAGGGGACTCCATGATGGACAGCCCAGAGATGATCGCCATGCAGCAGCTGTCCTCCCGGGTCTGCCCACCAGGTGTGCCTTACCACCCCCGCCAGCCTGTGCCCCCACATATTCCTGGCCCTTTCCCACAGGCAGCTCACTCAGCATCAGTCAGTGTGCCAGCCCCGAGGCCTGCCTTGGGCAACCCTGGGAGGTCACAGGATAAAAGTGAAACACCAGAGCCTGAAAATGACCGAGGTAATTCACATTGTCCCTTTCATCTGAGTTGTGGCTCTTTAAGCTGGTATTTCACGAGTGATTTTCTCACAGACTATCAAACCAAATGGAAACTGGTTCCTAGCCTCTTTTTCTTAAACTACTCAGGGTTGGGCCAGTCATAGCACTTGTTTTGGTCTGAAAATTCCAGAGCCTTTCTGGTGATGATAATGGTAGCTATACAGATAGGCACCTGCTGAGGTAGGCACTCTTCTTGAGGATTTTATATACATTATTAATTCAGTTCTCAGGACGAGCCTTTGAGGTAGCTACATCATTACTCTTGTTTTTACAGATGGAAAATCCAAGGCACAGAGTAATGGAATATTTGTTCTTGTCCAGCTAGTAAGTAATGAAGCTGAGATTTAAACCCAGGCAGGTTGGCCAGCTGTGGTGGCTCACGCCTATAATCCTAGTACTCTGGGAGGCCAAGGTGGAAGAATCGCTCAAGGTCAGGAGTTCAAGACCAGCCTGAGCAAGACCCTGTCTCTACTAAAAATAGAAAGAAATTAATTGGCCAACTAAAAATATATAGAAAAAACTAGCCGGGCATGGTGGCGCATGCCTGTAGTCCCAGCTACTCAGGAGGCTGAAGCAGGAGGATCGCTTGAGTCCAGGAGTTTGAGGTTGCCGTGAGCTAGGCTGACACCACGGTACTCTAGCCCGGGTAACAGAGTGAGACTCTGCCTCAAAAAAATAAACAAACAAACAAACACACCCAGGCAGGCCAGGTGCAGTGGCTCACGCCTGTAATCCTAGCACTGTGGGATGCCGAGGCAGGAGGATCGCTTGAGCTCAGCAGTTGGAGACAAGCCTGTGCAAGAGTGAGAGCACATCTCTACTAAAAATAGAAAGAAATTAACCGGACAACTAAAAATGGAAAAATTTAGCTGGGCATGGTGGCATAGGCCTGTAGTACTAGCTAATCAAGAGGCTGAGGCAGGAGGATCGCTTGAGCCCAGGAGTTTAAGGTTGCTGTGAGCTAGGCTATTGCCACAGCACTCTATCCTAGGCAACAGAGCGAGAGACTGTCTTAAAAAACAACAACAACAAAAAAAGAGGCAAATTAGTTCCAGCTTTTAACTGCTACATTATCATAATGCCTTTAAAAAAGTCACTGTCTTGAAAGTTATCACTATGAAATAAGTTTTCAAATTCTAATTATTACCATCCTTTTATTCCTTGTATATATATCTGTATCTACCAAGAATTACAGATTGTGAGATTAGGAAATTTTGAAGCAGTCTCTTAACAAATTCCATTTAAGGAGAGTAAATATTAAACTAGAGGAGAAAAATGAAAAACCTAGTTTGTGTAGTCAATGATTATTTCTAGAATAGGGAGCTAGCATATATTATGTATAGTCTTATTCCTTGCATGGCTAGAGAATGGAGATACCGGGACTTTCTAAAAGATGATGATGAATCCATGTAAAACTGATGGCAGGCTTGGAAGACAAGCTTAACTGTTCGTGTTGGTTTGTGGAAATGCCTATCTTGTGAACACCAGCTCTAGCGAAATATCTAATACTGGTTTCAAATGGTGTCTAGAATTCAGAGCTTTACAAGAATATCATTAGTTAAATCTTGGATAAGTCTATTTAACAGTTGCTGAGTTTTATGTTGATTAAACAATGAAGAGTATGGTTTTAAATTTTTGTGCAGTTTGTACCTTTGACCTTTAAGACTAGCTTCAGTTCGCAGGTAGCCTGAGCTGTCTTAGTAGTTACTGTAAGTTGTTATGAATCTTAAATGTTTTCCTTAAGATCTGTTACCAGATTTGTAATTTGATCACACCTAGAAAACTCTATCCTAGAAAGATTATATGTATATATATAATACTCATATAATAATGGTCTTTTTATTTAAGACCATTTTTAAAGGTAGATAAAATAGTAAGGTAAAGGCTTCTGAGATTATAACCAAGCATTAGAGTCTAGCAAATTAATTTCATTGGGCTTATTAAATTTCTATAATATTCTAAACATGCCTTTTGAGTTGTAGTTTATAGGCATCTTGCTTTTAAGACATCCAGACAAGAAGTATGTATTCATTCATTAACAAATCTTAATTAAGATTCCACTTTGTGGCCAAGCGCTGTGGCTCACGCCTGTAATCCTAGCACTCTGGGAGGCCGAGGCGGGTGGATTGCTCAAGGTCAGGAGTTCAAAACCAGCCTGAGCAAGAGCAAGACTCCGTCTCTACTATAAAATAGAAAGAAATTAATTGACCAATTAATATATATAGAAAAAATTAGCCGGGCATGGTGGCACATGCCTGTAGTCCCAGCTACTCGAGAGGCTGAGGCGGCAGGATGGCTTGAGCCCAGGAGTTTGAGGTTGCTGTGAGCTAGGCTGACGCCACGGCACTCACTCTAGCCTAGGCAACAAAGTGAGACTCTGTCTCAAAAAAAAAAAAAAATTCCACTTTGTGCATGTACTGATGTACTAAGAGTACAGGGGCAACGTCCCTGCTGCTGTGGAGCTTATATTCTCATGGGGCAGGATCAGGAATCTGGCCTCCCTGACTGCCTGTCGTGCTCTGGTCTTTCTGATTGGGGGAATTTTCAGAGCTTCCCAGCCTGACCAGTGATTCTGATGACAGCCATACTCTCCTACCGTGTTTCACATGCAGATACCTAGAGTCCATAGCCATGATCCCTCTCTTTCCCTCTTACTCATCTGCCTGACAACACAGGAAGGAGGCTTCCATTCTCTGCACCTTAAGAATGACTATAGAGGCCGGGCGTGGTGGCTCACGCCTGTAATCCTAGCTCTCTGGGAGGCCGAGGCGGACGGATTGCTCGAGGTCAGGAGTTCGAAACCAGCCTGAGCAAGAGCGAGACCCCGTCTCTACTATAAATAGAAAGAAATTAATTGGCCAACTAATATATATACAAAAAATTAGCCGGGCATGGTGGTGAATGCCTGTAGTCCCAGCTACTTGGGAGGCTGAGGCAGGAGGATTGCTTGAGCCCAGGAGTTTGAGGTTGCTGTGAGCTAGGCTGACGCCATGGCACTCACTCTAGCCTGGACAACAAAGCGAGACTCTGTCTCAAAAAAAAAAAAAAAAAGAATGACTATAGAGGTGCTAGGTTTTACCTTAGGTCTGTGAAAGCAGTCAAAGGAAGTATGCAAGTACTACAACATCATCATCCCTTTCAGGGATTCTATATGATTTCCATGTTAGTCTTGAATCAGCACACACCCATCTAAACCCTGATTCTAAGGTTCTTTTCATCACCACCTCCATTAATGTTGTCATTTCAACTACTGAATGACTATTATTTTGTTCTTCATTTTGCACTAGAGCCCTTGCCTGGACTTGAAGAGAAAACAGCAGGCGTTGCTGCTTCTGAGGAAGGGGTATACCTCAAACATCTACCTCACCCTGCGCCTGCCCTGCAGCCCGATTGCACCGGGCAGAGCTCGCCACAAGAAAGGGAAACAGTGGGCCCAGAGCTCAAAAGTGACTCCTCAGAATGTGCAGACAACTGTAAAGCAGCAAAGGGCAAGACCGCCTGGCCCTCGGATAGCAGCTACACCAGCCCAGCCGCCCAAGGGTGTCTGAGAGACCTCTCCACTGTGGCAGACAGAGTGACTCTGCCTGAAAATGGAGTTATCAGCGAAGCATCTCCTTGTGGATCAGAGGGGAAGGGCCTTGGAGGCAGCGGTTCAGAAAAGCCGCCCTGCCCCAGAGGCAAAATGCAGGACACCATGCTGTGTACAGGACAGAACACAACACCTCCCCACACAGACCCCAGTCTGATGGGAGGCGCTATAAGCCAGTTCTCTCCCTTGTACGTGCCTGGCCTGGAATTCCCGAATTCAGCTGCGCATTATCACATCAACCCAGCCCTGCCAGGTTTGGGCCCTGTGGTGGGAGGGAAGTCCTCAGTGTCCCACCCTCAGCATTTCCCTCCTAGGGGCTTCCAGCCTAACAGTCCTCACTCTGGAGTCTTTCCCCGGTATCGCCCCCACCAAGGCGTGAGGTACTCCTACCATCCACCACCTCAGCCTTCCTACCATCAGTATCAGCGAGCAACTTACTATACCTGTCCACAGGGCTTCTCTGACTGGCAGAGACCCCTCCACCCCCAGGGAGGCCCAGGTGGGACCCCAGCTAGCCAGCCGCCCCCATCACGTTCCCTCTTCTCAGATAAGAATGCCGTGGCTAATCTGCGAGGCTGTGAGACCCTGAATGCTGCCTTAACTTCCCCAACTCGAATGGATGCAGTGGCTGCTAAAGTTGTCCCCACTGACGGGCAAAATCCTGGTTCAGAAGAAGAGAAGCTGGATGAGTCTATGGAAAGGCCGGAGAGTCCCAAAGAATTTTTAGACCTGGACAACCATAATGCGGCCACCAAGCGACAAAGTTCGTTATCAGCCAGCGATTATCTTTATGGAACTGCTCCTCCACCTCTGAGTTCAGGAATGGGTTTTGGTTCACCTACTTTTGCACCTCATGGTGTGATGTTGCAAGCGGGGCCCCCTTATACACCCCAGCAGCCGGCCAGTCACCTCCAGCCCAGGGCTTACTCTGCTCCTGGGACAGCTCACCCTCCTCACTGTCCAGCAGCCACCGCCCAACCCAATGGCCTCTCCCCGGAGGGCCCTGTGTATCACTGCCAGGAAGAGGGCTTGGGTCACTTTCAGGCTGTAATGATGGAACAGATTGGCAGTGGAAGTGGAATAAGGGGACCTTTCCAGGAAATATACAGACCATCAGGGTAAGATTGCATTAGGTTTTGGGTTTTTTGGTATGTGTGGGTTTTCTTCTTCTTTTTTGTAAGGGGAAAAAACATGGTATTCCGTGTGTATCCTTGATATTGAAAAATAATTTTAAAAAGATGTTAATTTTCAGGCCGGGACGTGGTAGCTCACGCCTGTAATACTAACACTCTGGGAGGCCGAAGTGGGTGGATTGATGAAGGTCAGAAGTTCGAGACCAGTCTGAGCAAGAGCGAGACCCATGTCTACTAAAAATAGAAAGAAATTAATTGGCCAACTAAAAATATGTAGAAAAAATTACCCGGCATTGTGGCATGTGTCTGTAGTCCCAGCTACTTGGGAGGCTGGGGCAGTAGGATCACTTGAGCCCAGGAGTTTGAGGTTGCTGTGAGCTAGGCTGACGCCACAGCACTCTAGCCCTGGCAACAGAGTGAGACTCTGACTCAAAAAAAAAAAAAAAAAGATGTTAATTTTCACAAGAAAAATGGCCTTTAAGACCAAAAAAAATCATGTTAATCATTAAAGTTAGAAACTTAGTAGAAATTATGGGAGTCCCAGGCAGGTAGCTCACTTGAGGTCAGGAGCGCAAGACCCCCTCTCTACAAAAAATAGAAAAATTAGCTGGGTGTGGTGGCATGTGCCTGTAGTCCCGGCTACTTGAGAAGCTGAGGCAGGAGGATTGCTTAAGCCTAGGATTTTGAAGTTGCTGTGAGCTGTGATGATACATCTTTGAGCCCTGTTTTATCTTTGACATTTAAGTGACTATGGAGTTAGATTTTTTTTTTTTTTTTTTTGAGACAGCGTCTTGCTTTGTTGCCCAGGCTAGAGTGAGTGCCATGGCGTCAGCCTAGCTCACAGCAACCTCAAACTCCTGGGCTCAAGCAATCCTGCCGCCTCAGCCTCTTGAGTAGCTGGGACTACAGGCATGTGCTACCATGCCCTGCTAATTTTTTCTATATATATTAGTTGGCCAATTAATTTCTTTCTATTTTATAGTAGAGACCGGTCTCACTCTTGCTCAGGCTGGTTTCCAGCTCCTGAGCTTGAGCAATCCACCCGCCTTGGCCTCCCAGAGTGCTAGGATTACAGGTGTGAGCCACTGCGCCCAGCCTGGAGTTAGATTTTGATGTTGTAAACTTGATAACCATAGTCGGAGAGGTGTAGGCAAGGCTGTCAACCTTGCTGCTGATTTCAGACACTCTGGCCAAGGTAAAATAGGTCTGCCCTGGGGCATAATGGAGATCATATATTACAGTATTATTCCATATCTCTCATTTCTTCCCCAATCATTGAATAAAAAAGAGGTTTATCCAGAATTGGAACAAGTCAGCTGCTACCTCCATGAGACTTCTTTCATAACATACTTGTATAGTGATGCTTTTAAGACCCAGTTAGGTGATCAGCCATCCAGGAAGTTTTCAAATTAATGATATGTAGAATATGGTTAGGTGAAGTTATTTATATTGAAGTTATAAAGCCTAGTCTTAAAACCAAGACCATTCACCATAAAAACCAGTGTGCCGTTCCTCCATTTAACATTTTGCCATGATCCCCAAGTGCTGGGATTACAGGCATAAGCCACCACACTGGCCTCTTGTGCTTAGATTAAATGCTTATGAGGAATACACACAGGTCATGTTACTTGCTTCTTACTGCATCACACCAGGAGGAATTGTCCTAGTATTGATGACTCCAAGTTTGATCATCTGGATAATTAAGGCATTATCTTCATGATCGAAGTATCTTTCTTTCTTTGTAATTAATACATCTTCATTAATTCTTTGTTGATTGCTTTCCTGTGGCTGTAGAGTGCAGATGCACCCGGTCCAGTCGCAGGCCTCATTCCCAAAGACCCCAGCACCAGCAGGACCGCAGGAGGATCTGCCACCTCACAAGCCCCCAACACTTCCTCTGGATCAGGTAAGAATTTTTAAAAATTGAAGTTTTTCTTATTCTTCCATGTGGCAGGAAATAAGTATATGGCCTCATTACTATTTTGAAAAAACATTTTAATATGTCCTATTGATACAGGAAGATCTCCTGAAAAATGCTTCATGTGCTACAGGCCATCCAGGTAGAGTCCCCTGAGGCTGTGTTCTCACAGCTGCTTGGACACCCAGAAAGATCAAGAGCAGAGGCCACAGAAGTGACTTCTCTTGCATTCCTTTTACTCTTTTTTTTTTTTTTAAAGACAAGGTCTCACTCTTGCCCAGGCTGTAGTAGAGTGCAGTGGCATCATTATAGCTCACTGCATCCTTGAACTCCTGGGCTTGGGTGATCCTCCTGACTTCGCTGAGACTATAGATGAAGGGGGACACCACGCCTGGCGAGTTTTTTCTACTTTTTCATAGAGACAGTGGTCTTCCTATATTGCCCGGGTTCCTACTTCTATGTGGTAACTAGCTATCTGGAGAATAGTTAAACCACAGTTTTTCCAAATCTGGTACCAGCATTTCTTTTGCCATGATCCCTTGTCTATTTTATCCTTCCTACCCACCTCATTTGGGAGAGACTAGTCATTCAGGTTTTGGAATGACAGTAGCTGCCTATGAGTGCTGCTTGTCTGCCAGGTCCTGTGCTGAGAGCTTCCACATGCAGTGTCTCATTCAACCCTTTCCTTAGCGCCCGTAAAGCGATCGCCGTCATCACCCACACCGTCAGCATTTCCTAGTGTGCAGGAAGTCCTGCCGCCATCTCAGTGGGTCTGGGGTCTGCAGTCAGAAGCCCAGGGCCCTGGAGCCCGCCTTCTGTGCTTGGACTGTGGCCGGTAAAACACAATCCACCTGTTCTCCCAGATGCAGAGGAGCACAGGCAGTTCTCTCACTTACTTTTTAACAGCTCACATAATTTTTTATATTCTTTAAAAGGCCTTTGTTTTCTCTGTTTCTCTCAGAGCTAGTCCAAGGAGGGGAAATAGCCACCCAGGAAATGGAAAGCTGCACGTGAAGACTGGGACATGGAGAGCTAGGGGATGACCCTTGCCCATCTCTATTCCTGTCACCCTGCTCCATCCTTCACAGTGACTCACCGTCCCGGAGCCGTTCACTGGGCAGGAAGCACACTCCGTAGATGACTCACACAGCCAGCAGAGGTCCTGGGTCCAGGATCGCTTGTGTAGCTGGTATAGACAGTCGAGAAGAACAAGTGAACCTGGAGTTGATGATGACTTTTCCAAATCCTGAGACTCTTTTCAGGGAAAATCACTTTAAACTTGGGGGGGGGTACTCAAGAATGGAGTGGTGCTTTTAAACTTTGATGAGCAGCTAAACTCAGGTATATATTTGGGGAAGGGACTACTCGTAGTATTAATGTTTTTGGAGCTGGGTCCAGTTTACAGAATTTTCATGTTGCCTTTTAAAATAATTTTTGTTGGTGGTGAATGTATTGTACATAAAGTGGGAAGGGTAGGGTAGGTGGGGATGTGGAAGAAAGGGGAGTCTTAACTGTGGTGGGCACACAGCACTGGAGTGATCATTATCTGTTTACAATCATGTCACACTGCATACTTTTGGAAGCTGGATAAGAGCATAGGAAAGGTTTAATCTTACGGTATGTCACTGTCTATTTCCTTAGTGGCTGGCCAGCCTTTCTGAGTAAACAGCCTTCCTTGAAGCAGCCTAAGAGAGAATAGTTATGCTATCCCCTAACCATTTCTCTCAGTTTGGAGGCAGAGTGCTTTGCTGTGGCCTACCAGAAGATTCAGCCCACAGAAACGGGCTGCTCTCTCACTCTGGTGGTCCAACTCCTATATTTGAGAAAGTGGTGTCCCTGCCTGGTTTTGCCAACAGCCCTATCAGATAGTTGTAAACCAGTATCAGGAATTGGGATCACTAGAGTATTTCACTTACTGAATCATACTCTTCACAGACCTGTCAGGACTGTGATTTAGAAGGCAACACACAAAGCGTTCTGGCATGAATCACACTTTGTGGAAGTGACTACTCAGGTTTGTGTATGTTAGTATCAATAAAGAAATTGCACAGGTTTGAATAGGAAAAATGTATTCGATAGATTGACAGTTTGAATTTAGGAATATTTCAGTATATATAGTTTTTATTCATTTTAAGTGAATCATAGTAAAATCAGTCATGGTGATTTAAAATAGTGTCAAGAATAAGTTCTTGGAAATTATTTCTTGTATCTGTGATAGGAAACAATTTTACAGTATTAAATTGCTTTATTACAGTTTTAGAAATGAGTTACACTGGAATCTCCCTGTTTAGCATTCTGTATTTGATTTTAGCTAAGATGTCACCAAAGTTAGGACCCATGTTATGAACTTCTGAATATCCCACAAGGAAAAGATTAAGAAAAATGTCCTGAAATGATAGGGGTTGGTAAAGAATAGTGTGTGTTAAGCATGCTTTTGCCATAGTAGAAAAGCCTCCATGAAATATTCATCTGCCCTAGTTTCGTATAAATTCACCTGTGGGTGGAGGCAGTAGAATCTTTCCCCACAATTTCAACATCCTTAATGAAACCTGGAACTGTCAACATTTCCACTTTGCTAAACATGGTATCATTGGGAAAGGAAACAAATTGGAAGCATCCGTGTTACAGAGATGGAACTCAAGACAGCGGTTCCAGTGTGATAATAGGAGTCACACCAATAAGTGAATGCCCATCAACCTTGGTGGTGGCTCTTAGCATATGGGCAGAGTTGAGTAGGGAACACACATGCCTCTGAGGTATAAGGCACAAAAATATGAATTTTTCTCTAACAGAGACTTTAATTTTAAATTTGGCATGTTTGCAAGTAGACTGAGTTTTGAGCCTGTGTTCTCATTGGCTCTTAATTGTTAGAAACCTATCACTGGCATAATCTGTTTTAGAAAAGTAAAAAGGTCAGATTGTGGATATGTCTTGGTCTGCCCTTGAGCCTAGTATAAGCTAAAAGGTCAAAACATTACTACTTCAGTTTCCGTGTTTGTGCAGAAGCACTGAGGAGGGAAAAAGTAGTTTGCGGCTGCTTAGACCTGGTCAAGGCCCTGAGTATTTGGCCACTTTCTCTTTTCCTGCTAATGCTGGCTTGAATTGGAGGCTGCTAACTTTTCCCTAAGTAGGAGTATGGTAACCAATGGGGCCTTTTCCCATGGTGCTAACACTGTAGGAGTTGCTTTGTGCTGAATAACCTAGAGGCCTGGGTAGGAGTGGACTGTAACTAAAAGTGGGGCTGGTTGTACCCTTCCCTTCTGCCCTCCTGGTATTTGAGCAGCTATGTGCACATTGCTCAGGGTAACCCTGTCTCCTCATTCCCCCAGCCCCCTACCTCCAATTACCTGTTGTTAGAAAGATGCTGTGAACAATATTAGAAAAAATGAATTAAATCCTTGATTCTTAGTCTCCTTTCTTGGTTTTTAGACAGATAAGGAGATACTAAGGAAGAGCAATAGGAAATTGAACTGCTGTATTACATTATAACACTGTGAACAAGAGCAACAGCACAGCTGGCAGCCTTGCTGTATCCTATGTGGGAATTTGGTCATGCATTACAGGTACCAGTGCTTCGCCCCTGTCCATGGTACGTCCTGAGCCTCAGCTGGTCTTTGAAGTGCAGGTCTGCTATCAGCTGCTGCAGAAGCTGCAAGATTGCAGGAACATACATAATGACTGAGCTGCTGTGAACCCCTAGTCCACTCGCTCCCAAACAGGATCTTTCTTCTCATCTTTTCTTTTTCCTCTAGCACTTCTTTCCAAGTGTCTTAAGCAGATGCAATGTCTTAAAGCAGATGCAAATGCATTTGCCATCTTCTCCATTAGGGAAAGGATGGCTATGTGATATAATTAGAAAGTAGTGTGGAAGAGTGTCCTGAAAAGATTTGCTTTCAGGCTAAAAGGACATTTCACCCTGTTGGTCTCTGTCACCTTCTCAGTGTGCTGGCTCTCAGTGGTCCCCAGGAGAAGGGATGGCTTAGATCCATGGATAATTGGAAACAGCATCACACCTATTTGATCTGACATTCACAGATAACCTTTATTAGAGTTGTGTTAAATTAGAAACTGTTTCCCTAAGTCCCAAGAGCAATAAGAAATCCAGAAAGAAAAGTATAGCCTTTGATAAGAGCTGTGGCTTTGGCTAACCCCCACACCCCCACCCACCAAATCTGTTCATTAAAAAAGTGGCCAGAGCTGTTGGCTAAAATTGATTATGGTGGAGAATAAGGAAGGGAAAAGTATGCAGAATTCTTCTTTATATAGCTTTCCATCCCACTTCTTAATAATAAAATTAAAGCTACTCCACCTCTCCTAAATCAAGTAGGTTTAGTTCTTCTGGTACTTATTATTATTCAGAGCTTATTATTCAGTTCTTTTATTTCACCGAGCCCAGGTCAGACTGCTCTCAAGAGGCAAACTTTTCCACACCTATCTTTATATTGTTTATTGAACACCTTAAGACTTATAGTTTGTGCCCTCAGTTGGGTCAAGCCTCAACTCTAAATGTTGATTTACTCTAGCCTGACCCTTCAGAGTGCTTCTTGGGGCTAGCCACTGGGCATCAGGATCCCATGGTGCTTACCTGCTATACTGTTGTTACTATTTATGCTGATACCTACTCTGCTATGCGAATCCCTGCAAAGGGTTTGCTAAGTGCCATCCCAAACCCACAAAATCAGAGTTGCAGTCAACACAGCTATCAGAAGCAAGCTTGCGATCCATACTATAATACTGGGTTGGGCTTGTTTCTTTCTTATGAAAGTTTACATCTGTAAATAATATACTGCCCTTACGACCTAATTTGAAATGTCACAGGAAGGCTCAATCCAGCAGTCCCTCGGCAAGGACACTTCCACAATGTCAGAATCCTGACATGCATCCAGAGACCTTGGTGTTCAAAGAAATGAAAAGCTTAGGATTTTCTAGTATTGTTGCCACCTTTTGTGTCTGCCAGTCATCTCACCCCCTGCAGATTCTTCACGGAGCCTCCCCCCCCTTGCAGAAATCAGTTCCATGTATTAGCGAGTCATGTGCTATTTGATCCTGAGGCTTATGGGGTGCAGTGTCTAGCAGGCAGCCCTCTGGACAGCAACTGCATTGAGGACAAGTGGAGTTTGGTTGAGCGTGCAGAGGGTTTATTCTTGGGCTGATATCTCTAGGAACGCAGAATGTGATTGACACTTGCGTAAGAAGCTGGGTTCCCTTTTTTTTCTCAGTGGGTTGGACTCCACCGTGCAGCCTTAGGCCACAGAGCCTGGCCCTGCTCTCCCTTTGGGAAAGCAGACTTTAAATGAACATTGTTGCATCCCATTTCTCAAATTAAGTTGTGGCACAAGCTTTGTCTCCAGGCTGGGTGTTGATCCCTGTGCTCTACACAGACATTTGAAGGGACAGCCTCTGGGCTTGGATTGAACTTTCTACCTAGTCTGGCTCTGGCTCTGCAGGAGAGGACTGACTGAAGTAGCAGTGCCTGATAACCAGCTGACTGTCCTGCATGTGTTTTTGAAAGGGGTGGGAAGGGTGGGAACGGGTGGATACTGCGTAAGTTATTGAAATGCGGACCCCCTTTCGTAGAGGAGTGGCCCTTGTCTTTCCCTAGCTGGGGCTCAGGCACCTTTCCCCTGCCATGTGCAGCCCCTGGGCCTGGGTCAGTCTCCACCAGCCTCGGCACGCGGTGCAGAAGTCTTTGCTCCGGCTGCGGAAGCTGTGCCAGCCTTCCTGGCCAGCACTGGAAAGGGGAAGGCTATTTATTTTTATATTGTGTATATTTTGTTGTGGTCTGCTGATTCCCTGTTTCACTGAGAGCGACACTTACCTCAATAGTTAGTTCAATATTGTGTGTTGAATAATTTTTAAAAGAACTTTTTAAAAGGTTTTTTGATCCTCAGAGGTCTGTAGATTTATTTCCATATGAACTGGTTATTTTGTATAAAGTACATTCTTAAAATAGCAAGGCTCTGCTGTGTGTGTGGTGTGTCCACGTGTCACTTTTATCACCAGCGCAAACCAGAGCTCCATCAGGACAAAGGTGTGAACTGGGCCACAGTGCCATTCCCCCCAAAAGTGCCATCCCCATCTGGATTCTGATTCACAAGGATTGGGGACAGCTGGATGGGCAGGGATTGTGCCAGTGCAGGCTCTGCAGAGTCAGAACAGGGGGAAGGCGGGCACCCCGCTTGTCAGGCAGAACACGCCTCACAGCTAATGCCGTCAGCACCACTGTGTGCATCTGCCACCCCCCAGCCCTTGGCACATCACTGGTAGGGGTTAGGGGTACACCTGTGGCACATGATTTGATCCCTGTCCGGGGTGCACCAGGCAGGTGAAGGGCATGGTTGATGGTGGGGGAGCTGTCTGTGAAGTCCAGGTGGCCAGGAGAGGGCGCCACAGGCTAATGAGTAGGTGCTTTACCCTGGCCCACATTATTTCATTTTTATTTCCAGTTCCTGGGAGGCTTTTTTTTATGGGGAGGTGTGGGGATGGGGTTGGAGAATAGATTGAAAGTAGTCATATTGTTACCAGTCAGGTAAAACTCCTGGCCTGTTTTATCCTTTGATACAGATAGCTCTTGGCTTATAAAGGTCAGATTTAGGATTTTTCAACTTTACAATGGTGTGAAAGCAATACATACTCAATAGGAACCATGCTTTGAGTACCCACACAACCATTCAATATTCAAGAAATTACATGATGGCCGGGCACGGTGGCTCACGCCTGTAATCCTAGCACTCTGGGAGGCCGAGGCGGGTGGATTGCTTGAGGTCAGGAGTTCAAAACCAGCCTGAGCAAGAGCAAGACCTCGTCTCTACTATAAACAGAAAGAAATTAATTGGACAACTAATATATATATATAAATAAATTAGCTGGGCATGGTGGCACATGCCTGTAGTCCTAGCTACTCGGGAGGCTGAGGCAGTAGGATTGCTCGAGCCCAGGAGTTTGAAGTTGCTGTGAGCTAGACTGACGCCACAGCACTCACTCTAGCCTGGGCAACAAAGCAAGACTCTGTCTCAAAAAAAAAAAAAAAGGTTACATGAGATATTCAACACTTCATTATAAAATAGGCTCCATGTTAGATGATTTTGCCCAAATGTAGGCTAATGTAAGTTCTGAGAACGCTTAAGGTAGGCTAGGTGTATTAAATACATTTTCAACTTAAGCTATTCACACCTTACAATGGATTTATTGGGTTATAATCCCATTGGAAGTCAAGGAGCATCTTTAATTGGCCTTGTAAGTGATCTTCATTCCATAAAAACTCAACCACAAGTAGTACCAGTTTCCAAATTGGTTCCACTCAGGTTTATCATTTTTTAGGATAATAACAGATCTTTTCCCTTTTGATCATCAATTGTTTGCTGTCAAATTTATCCCCATTGATACACTATAATTGGCTAACTTTTTTTTATTTTCTTTTTGAGACAGACTCTTGCTCTGTCGCCCCAGCCAGAGTGCAGTGGCATCATCATAGCTCACGGCAACCTCAAACTCCTGGGCTCAAGCAATCCTCCTGCCTCAGCCTCCCAAATAACTGGGATGACAGGCATGTACCACCACACCTGGCTAATTTTTCTACTTTTGATAGAGACAGGGTCTCTTTCTTGCTCAGGCTGGTCTCAAACTCCTGGGCTCAAGTGATCCTCCCACCTCTGTCTCCCAGAATGCTAGGATTACAGGTGTGAGCTGCCGCACCCAGCCCATTTCCATATAATTTCTGAGATGAAAAAAATAAACTTTAAAGTGAAAGTCATGAGTAAAACACCAGACCTGATATGATGCTAGTCAAATTGTTCATCTTGTTTCAGTGTCTCAGTGTTTCCTTTTGCCTTGACTGGGCTGGGGAGCAGGACACTTTGGCCTGACATCCTTCACTGTCCTGCCAGCTTATCCAGAGTCTGTTCCAGCTATGTCAGTGGCTTAGGTGACATTAGCAGCTCCACTCCCTGTGCATATTAGCATCACCCGCCGAAAATACGTGTAAACTTGGGTTTCTAACTTTTGGATTCTCAACTGGAAACCCTGCTAACTTGACATGAATTTCTCACCAAAAACCAGAGTTTTTTGGACAGATTTAGCTAATGATAAGCTTTAACTTTATTTTTTCAATGAACTTAGCACTTAGTTAAGTGCCATTTAGAGCATTTCAAGATTTATCTTCTTGCAACCCAAAACAACAAAAAATAACAAAAGTTAATGTCTTCCACTCACTAGTCAACTGTTTCAAATATAGTAGGCAGTGTTAGTCCAGCCCTTTTGTTGAAGTTGTTATTATTTGACAATATTACTTGTTAAGCCATCAGTAATGCATCCTGCACGATGATTATCTTACGCAGTGAGTTTCTTAAAATTGGAGCATAAAAAGAAAGCCATAAATTCTTACTGTGGATTAGTCTCAACTCTGATCATGAAAAAAATAAATAAATAAAAACTCCGATCAGGCCTGGCACAATGTCTCACACCCGTAATCCTAGCACTTTGGGAGGCCTCACAGGAGAATCGCTTGAGTCCTGGAGTTTGAGGCTGCTGTTAGCTATGAGGACGCCACTGCACTCCAGCCCAGGAGACAGAGTGAGACCCTGTCTCAAAAAAAAAACAAACAAACAACTGATAATCTGAAATTTCCATTTTGACATTTGGAGCCATCCGAAGGTGCTTCTCTGGTTAAAGATTAACATCTTGTCACTAAACCAATTCCTGTTTTGATAGGAAAGACACTTTAATTTTATAAACAGCCCCTCTAGGGGCTCCATTTCGCTACAGTCTTTACCTGCTCTGAGAGTGCTATTAACACAATTTAGAAAAGTCTGACAGGCTCTTCCGGAGGCCAGTCTTGACCCTGGAGTCCTCCTGAGGAGGTGAATGGCTTCTGTTGTGAAGTGGTTATGCAAGAGGTGCCCTTGCTCTCCTAGGTGGCCTTGGAGCTGAGGCAGAGCCTGTTATCCGGGAGGCCTTCACTGTCCTCCCCCACCCCTGCAGGTCTGTTTCCTGGGCCTCTTCCCTGGGGCTTTTAAAAGGACGTCTGTGCATCTATTTTAGTCCATTTCTGCTAGCAAGGCTTGTTCCTCTTTGGACGATTTTAGCAAAAACCTTCAGTGCAAAATACTAGCCAAGAAGGCAGCTGGAAAATCCCCAGATTGGGCTATTGTGTGCTGAAATCCCAACCCCCTTCTGCATCCATGACATGCATATCAATTCAGGTGCCCTTGAGAAGTCTTCAGGTTAGGGAAAGCACAGCCTGCTCCTAGAATCTGGATTTTGAGCCTCATTCTGGATGGCATATGACAAGGACGAGTAGCCCTATTCTAGCCAGTTAAAGCTGGACAGAGATTTTAAAAGCAATGGAGTTAGTTCCTTGGATGATGTCCAGGGGTGTTGCCTTGGGAAGGAATTGAGTCTGCAGTAGGAAGGCAAAGATGAGTTCCAAGTGAAGCCTGGCCCGTGATTGCCTCAAGAACTAAGATGAAGATTAACTAACTCGCAGTCAAGATTTCAGTAAGTATTAAATATCTACTGTATGTCTCTTTTCCTAGTTACCAAGAATACAAAAAGGTTCTTGGGGACACAAAAATAGTGTCCTCTGGTCTGAGTTCACATTAGCGGGAGAATTAGAATACAGAAAAACTGGACTGTAGTAAGGTGCTAGAAGGAGTACACTGCTTAACTAAGGTAGCAGGTTAAGGAAAGATATTTTTGTTCCTTTCCTGCAATATATTTGTAGCAGGAGGGTGGGGCATTGGTGGTCTCTGCCCATTTAATTTGTTGTGTTTTTTTTTCTGTTTTTTTTTTTGTTTGTTTGTTTTTGAGACAGAGTCTCACTCTTTGCCTGGGGTAGAGTGCTGTGGCGTCAGCCTAGCTCACAGCAACCTCCAACTCTTGGGCTCCGGCGATTCTCTTGCCTCAGCCTCCCGAGTAGCTGGGACTACAGGCATGTGCCACCAGGCATGCCCAGCTAATTTTTTCTATATACTTCTAATTGGCCAATTAATTTTCTTTCTATTTTTAGTAGAGACAGGGTCTCACTTTTGCTCAGGCTGGTCTCGAACTCCTGACCTTGAGCGATCCGCCCGCCTTTGCCTCCCAGAGTGCTAGGATTACAGTCGTGAGCTGCCGCGCCCAGCCAGGGACAGCCATTGGATAGCTTGTTCCATCCAGCAGTCTCTATACCTAGTCTTCTCTGACTCCTTGTTCCTGTCTGAATGTCTCTCTGTTCACCCTGGCTCTACTCTAACTGGGTTAGACTAAAATGATGACATAATTCAGAAACTGCAGTCATCAGTAATTATGTCCAGTGTAATACTAAACATTTCCTGGAGACTTGGCATGGATCTGCAGAAACTGCAACTCGGAGAAAGGATGGTGGGGATAGCCTCAGCCTTCCTTAGCAAGTTAGTCTCTGATGGAGTCAGAATATAGCCCCTGGACCTGCAGCATTGACATCACCTGGAACCTGTCACAAATGGAGATTCTGGCATCCCTCCCCAGACCTACTTAGACCAGTGCCTTCAAAGGGCCCAGTGGTCTGCTGTAACTCACCCCCCTTGTGGACCCCACGCAGACAGGTAGGAATGGCCCTGGCATTTACATTTTGGTTCTCAGACACATGTAGTCTAAGCTGAACATCTCATTCAGAGCTGGCACGCAGCATAGCATGCTTCTAATAGACTGCAGGAGGCTCGCCTGCGCTGTGCTGGCTAGTTCACATGGGTCAAGACAATCGGGGTCCCTCTGTCCCACGCCGGGGGGAGAGCAGAATAAGAGTGGCTGCAAGGATGAGAAGTCCCTGTGCCCTCCCTTTGGGTGCTGTCATTTCCACCTGCAGCCTCCTTCCTCATGCTGCAGGACCACACTCCCCTTTTTTTCTTTTTTTTTTGAGACAGTCTCACTCTGTCATCCCGGCTAGAGTGCCGTAGCGTCAGCCTAGCTCACAGCAACCTCCAACTCCTGGGCTCAAGCGATCCTCCTGCCTCAGCCTCCCGAGTGGCTGGGACTACAGGCATGCGCCACCATGCCCGGCTAATTTAGAGACAGGGTCTCCCTCTTGCTCTTGCTCAGGCTGGTCCCAGACTCCTGGCCTCAAGTGATTCTCCTGCCTCAGCCTCCCAAAGTGCTGGGATTATAGGTGTGACCCACTGTGCCTGGTCTTAAATCTTTTCTTAACCACTTTATTATACTGTACATTAACAATGAGCCCCCACCCCCACCCCTTGTGTCATCCAATTACATTTAAATGTAACCTTGTTAGTTTCATTGTTTACCTGGCTTTCTTGCTTTTATGGTGGTAAAGTATACATAACAGAAACTACCACTTAAGGGATGCATTTCAGTGGTATTAAGTACATTCACGTTGACATGCAACCATCACAAGCCTCCATCTCCAGAACATTCTCACCTTCTCAAACAAACTGTGTGCCCATTAAACACTACCTGCCCATTCCCCCTTGCCCAGCCCCATAGTCATTTTTCTGTGTTCAGTCCCTGAATTTGAATATTCTAGGTACCTCTATATAAGTGGAATCATATAATATTTGTCCTTTCATGACTGTTTTATTTCACTTAGCATAATGTCCTCAAGGTATATCCATGTTGGAGCATGTGTCCTTTTTAAAGCGGAGTAATGTTCCATTGTATCCACATTTTGTTTTTCCATTCAGTGAACACAGGTTGTTTTCACTTTGGGGCTGTCATTAATAATGGTGCTATGAATGCGGGTGGACAGTTGTCTGTCCTGCTTTCAGTCTTTTGGGAATGCACCCAGAAGTGAAATTGCTGGATCATATGGTAATTCTGCACTTAATTTTTTGAGGAACTGCCATGGTGTTTTCCACAGTGGCTGCACCATTTTACATTCTCACCAGCAATGCACAAGGGTTCCAGTTTCTCCACATCCTCACCAGCACTTGTTTTCTGTTTTTTGTTACTATCCTTCCTAGAGAGGGGTGCAGTGGTGCCGCTCTTTCTTGAACATATTCCCTCCTTCTTGCAGTTTCTCATTTTATCTCTTGCCTAGATTATTGCCATCTCCCTGACCCGTCCAAACCACTTGGCACTGCCATGAGCCTACATTGTGCCCTGGGCTCCCCACTCAATAGCACCCTATATCAGCTTCCCATTGCCCACAAGAAAAGTAGAGAAAAAATTATCATTTAGTGAACACCACGTGCCAGGCACATGGCACTAAGTGAGAGTCCCATTTCCTAGATGAACAAGCAGGCACGGAGAAGTTATTTAAGATCACACAACTAATAATCAGTAAGCTAGGATTCAACTAGTTTGTTCAAAAGCAGTTTTACTCCAAGGTTCACTCTACATCCTCATTTAATCCTCATTACAAGTGTACTGAGTGGGTATCTCATCCCCTAATTTTAATGAAGAAAGCACTGAGTTAAGTAACTTGCCTAAAGTGAGATAGTTAATAACTTGGGAGCTGGGGTTCGAACCTGGGTCTCTGACTTAAAAGTCTGGTGATGCTGATTTCTCGTCTCTCTCAGATCCTTGGTCTGGCAACAAGGCCCTATACCGTCTGGACCCAACACAGTGTACCAGCTTTGTTTTGCCTGTACTGCCTTATTGCTCACTGCAATTTAGACAATTTGCCTCTAAAGAGGAGCTAGGTTTCGGTTTCACCTCTCTGCCCTGGTTTTTATAATTCCATCAATATCTAAGCCTCTCCTCCAGCCCTAAATCAATTGCACTTTCTCCCCCAAACCTTTCCAGTTCTCCAAACTAGAAGAAATCCTAAACTCCTGCAGCACTGAGCTCACCACTCAGTTGTGACATTTTTTTTTAAAATAAGGAAGTTTGTGCTTTTATTGAAAATTTATATGACTCATTATTGTAATAAATAACCATTTTCACACAAAAAAAATGACAGTGCTATGCTAGAGAAGAAAATATTAAATGGAGTTTACTTGTAGTGGCAAGACAGACTATTATCAATACAGAATAAATATTAACAGCATTCAGTTGTGACATTCTTGAAGGTGCCAAAACTACCTTGCAGCCCGCCTGCAGCTGAGCACATGGTAGTCCCTGGACAAACACAAAATGTACAAAAAGTATTCCTGCAGGGAGGGTGCCTTCCGGTCATTGAAATAGTTGATTCCCTGCAATGAGAAAAGTGTATGAGACTGAGGAGCAGAGATGAGTTCTGGCACCCAGCGTCTTGCAGAAGTGTTTGCATTGCATTGATTTTCAGTCGTCCGCCTCCCTGGCTCCAGGTCTCTGAGTGGGCGGTGAGTCTCCCCTCACCCCCAGGCTGCCCTGTTCAAATCTTTTCCCAGCCTGGACTTCTGTCCGAGTCATGCTAGCAAGCAAGTGAACAGCCACCTGCCTGCTACCTGGGAAGGAACAGCTTGGCTTGGCTGTGTAAGAGCCTCTTGGGGTTGGATTCAAACCAGCCTGTTTGCAGGTGCAGTAAGTGGGGAGAGGGTCTGGGAAACTGCAGCGGACACTAACTAAACAGAAGGGAAAACCAGCCTGGCCACCAGCATTGCAAACCAACTCTTCCCTGCAGGTCGGCAGTGATCTGGCCTGTATCTCCGGTTCCTGAAAAGGCAGAAGTTTCTTACTGAAAGCAGGTAAGTGTCTTGTCTGTCTGTAGCAAGGTTAGAGTTGGTGGGAAAAGACTCTTCTAGCAAATAAACCTTTTGGGAAGGGGAAGAGCAGACAGCAGGACAGGGTCTCCCATCTTATTTGCTGCAAATCAGGAAGCAGGTGGGCAGGAGGGAGTGGCCACCCCCGGCTTTGGGACAGCTCAGCCAGGAAGCAAGTTATTCCCTTGGTGATAAAGAACTGGCTCCTTCTGGGAGGCCGAGGCTGGTGGATCTCTCAAGGTCAGGAGTTCGAAACCAGCCTGAGCAAGAGCGAGACCCCATCTCTACTAAACATAGAAAGAAATTAGCTGGACAACTAAAAATATATAGAAAAAATTAGCCGGGCATGGTGGCGCATGCCTGTAGTCCCAGCTACTCGGGAGGCTGAGGCAGTAGGATCGCTTGAGCCCAGGAGTTTGAGGTTGCTGTGAGCTAGGCTGACGCCACGGCAGTCTAGCCCAGGCAACAGAGTGAGACTGTCTCAAAAAATTAAAAACTGGCTCCTGGCTGCTAGAGAGGGCTCGGCCCTGGGAGCACTCCCCTTGCTGCGCTGTGAGAAGGCAGGCAGGGACACGGGCTCACCCCTGAGGCCCCGACGGTCTTGTGATGAAACTGACTGCAGAGTCGGAGCAGTAGCCCGCTCCTGGTTCCCTAGTGCAACCAAACTCACTGGACACCGCTCTGCCCCTGGGCCAGGGACACCGCCCTGAGACTACCTTACTTTCAGACGACTCACATTTTTGATGGGGATGCAGGTCAGTAAATGAGTGGTGGTGACACAGCGTGGTAAGTGTGTAACTGAGTATTAAATGGGATCACAGGAGAGGGCTCCTGGCCAAGATTTGAGGGACTTCAGAAAGGCTGATGGGAGGAAGTGACATCTGAGCTGAAGGCCAAAGAACAGTTAATAATTTATTGGGTGTGGGTGGGGAAGAGTGTCCTCAGTAGGAGGGACAGTCTGTGCAGGGCTGAGATGCAAGACTGTGACGTGTGCCCAAAGCAAAAGAAGTTCGGAGGGGGCAGGGAGAGGAGCAAGCGCCTGTCCTGGGAGCAGTGGGGAGGCGCAAGGCTCTTGCCTGGGCGTGCCCTCCCCGAGCGGAGTGGCGGTATGGAGAACAGTTTGAGAGGAGCAGGCTGGAGACTGCCGGGCACTACGAGGGACACTCGGGGGTGACCTGGCACAGGCTGCTGGCAGGGGAAACCTTGAGTCACAGAAGTCGAGAGAATGGAATGTTTTATGGTGGGAAGAATAGAAAGGTGTGATCCAGGGAGCTCAGAAAACCCTGGCCTGGGGTCCCTGCAGCTCATCAGCTAGGTCATTTCTCTACAGAGTTGTGTCTCCTTCAAAATAGGATCCTGAGGAACAGTGTATTAAGAATCACGTTACGATTTTCTGCACTTTTTTTTTCTTTGAGACAATCTCACTGTGTCACCCTGGCTATAGTGCAGTGGCATCATCCTAGCTCACAGCAACCTCAAACTCTTGGGCTCAAGTGATCCTCCTGCCTCAGCCTCCTATGTAGCTAGGACTGCAGGCATGCGCCACCATGCCTAGCTAATTTTCTCTGTTTTTAGTAGAGATGGGGTCTTGCTCTTGTTCAGGCTGGTCTCGAACTCTTGAGCTCAAGTGATCCTCTGCCTTGGCCTCTCGGAGTGCTAGGATTACAGGTGTGAGCCACTGCACCCAGCCAGTTTTCTATGCTTTCTGAACTTTCTAATTTGTTTCTATTACTTTAAGTACTTTAAGAAATACAACAAATGTTCATTAGTAACAAAAAGGAATTGATCGTTCCCTGAGTGTTCAGCAGCAGGCCTTAGCCCAGCAGGCAGGACGGGCCACAGGTCTGCTCTGATGTGAGGGCTTCACACTCTGGCTTCCTCCCAGCCCCCCACCTGTCTGCTTCTGACTGTGGGCCATGACCAGCCTGAGCCACCTCCTTGTTTGAGAATAGAGCCTGGCGTGGTGAGGGAGTGGGCGCCAGTGCCTGGAAAGACGTGTGGAAATGGGCCCCCGGGGCTAGGACTGGCCAGGCCCACAAGCTGGCAGGAGCCATCTGCTTCGAGGTGCTGGTCTGGCCCTGCCTGCCCGCTCCCCGCTGCGCCAGGGAAACCGTGCTGAAGCCTTAGTGGCCCTGGACTCTCCTTCCCCAGTGCAGCTGCCTTTGCTAACTCACCCCCTCTTTCTTCAGCCCAAGACTGTTCCACTGCTCTCCCCTCTCCTCAGCCCTGCACAGTCACCAAGTCCAGGGCTTTTCTTTTCTTTCTTTTTTTTTCCAGGGCTTTTCTTCTTTAGAAAGTTCTCTCCCAGCTAACCCTGTCCACTGCCCCACTCCTTCCTGCTGCACTTGGCCGTACCACTGGCAAGGCCTGATTGATATCTGCCCAGGCTTCCCTCAACCCTTCTTCCAGTTATCCTCATACCTCACTCAACAGGATATTTCCCCTTAAAATCATTCAGTGTTATCTCACTGCCTACAGGCTCAAATTTTAAAATTTACTTTTTGGAGGGCACTTACTGCACCTGGCAATCCAGGCACCCCCATCCGGCCTGACCTGCCCTTGCAGCCAGTTTCCCACAGTCCATGTCCAGGCTGCCTTCCCCTCCTTCTCCTTTATTTTTATTTTTTAATTTATTTTTTATTTTATTTTTATTTTATTTTTTTTTGAGACAGAGTCTCACTTTGTTGCCCAGGCTAGAGTGAGTGCCGTGGCGTCAGCCTCACTCACAGCAACCTCAAACTCCTGGGCTCAAGCGATCCTCCTGCCTCAGCCTCCCGAGTAGCTGGGACTACAGGCATTCGCCACCATGGCCGGCTAATTTTTTCTATATATATATATTAGTTGGCCAATTAATTTCTTTTTATAGTAGAGACGGGGTCTCGCTCTTGCTCAGGCTGGTTTCGAACTCCTGACCTCAGGCAATCCACCCACCTCGGTTTCTCAGAGTGCTAGGATTATAGGCGTGAGCCACCGCACCCGGCCTCCTCCTCCTTTAAAATTTTCCTTGTTCTCTAAGGCCCACATCTGCTTCCTTTTCCAAGCCAGGCCACGGTGACCTCACACAACAATGAACCTTTACGGCTCTGTCTACATCACTCAATTGCTATTAAATGGAATTTGAGGGTTTTATTTAAGACATGTTCATTAGTTAAGGACGCTTTGGTTTGCAAATTACAAATGCTAACTCTGACTAGCAAAAGACAAGTCAATTCATGAGAACGGTAGTGGGACATCCCTGTGGATGAAGGGGTCCCTGTGCAGTCGGGATTTCAGGCTGGTACCACCAGATGTCTCTCCCATCACCTTATCTCTGTGGGTCTGCTTTGTTCATCTCTCTCATACTCTGTTTCCCAAATCCTATGACAACTTTGGGTTAGGTCCTAAGTTTTGTATGTTACAGATAAAAAACTCCTTAAAAGAGGCTACATACTCTCTTCTTTCTTTTTCTTTTTCTTTTCTTTTTTTTTTTTTTTGGGACACATAATAGTTGAATATAGAATTGTTTTTTGTTTTTTTTTTTTTTTTTTGAGACAAAATTTCACTCTGTTTCCCAGGCTAGAGTGCCGTGGCGTCAGCCTAGCTCACAGCAACCTCAAACTCCTGGACTCAAGCGAACCATGCCCGGCTAATTTTTTCTATATATTTTTAGTTGACCAATTAATTTCTTCTATTTTTAGTAGAGACAGGGTCTCACTCCTGCTCAGGCCGGTTTCGAACTCCTGATCTTGAGAGATCCTCCTGCCTCAGCCTCCCAGAGTGCTAGGGTTACAGGCGTGAGCCACCGCGCCTGGCCTATACTCTCTATTAAAACTCCTACAAAAGGGAGTGAATAACTCAGGAACCCCTCCCTACATAGTCAACATTAGCCAGGAGTGGAGTTACACTTTAGGAGCAGGGCAGTTCCCACACAACCAACTAGAGACCAAAGGAAAAGAAGGTAGTTCCTGGAAATGGGGTAGTGAGGAGATACAATCATTATCTCCTGTACTCCACCTTTTGATGCCTAAAACATGGAAGTATATGCTGTTTCCCTATATCCAAATTTCTTCTTCCTGATAGGGTTCAATTATCACAAGTAAAATTATAAATGCACTGGTTTTCCCAATGTGAAATAACTCCATGTCACACCTGGATACTGCATCCAGAAGAAATGACATGGAGCCTCTGTTTTCAGGTGACTTTTTGCCCCAGTCTTTTTCCACTTTGGTTCTAAAGAATTCCAGGAGCGGCACCTTGATTCTGCACCCCAGGCTCTCGTGATTGGTCTTAGCCGCCCAGCTCGCTCCCAGCACTCTCTGTTTTTCCTAAATCCCATCTAGAAAAGATATTAGAGGATATGCCACCAGTGGCCAGCGGTCTAAAGCACAGAGTGAACTGTAAGCGGCAGATTTTGCTCCCCGAATTCCTCGGCAGGCCAGGAGCAGTCCCCTGTGGGAAAGTGGGTGTATCACTTCAGCAGTTTGTTCTGTCCGTGCCGGAACCTGTAGGATTTAATTATTTATTTATTTATTTAGAGACAGAGTCTCGCTTTGTTCTCCAGGCTAGAGTGCCGTGGCGTCAGCCTAGCTCACAGCAACCTCAAACTCCTGGGCTCAAGGAATCCTTCTGCCTCAGCCTCCCGAGTAGCCGGGACTACAGTCTTGCGCCACCATGCCCAGCTAATTTTTTCTATATATATATCAGTTGGCCAATTAATTTCTTTCTGTTTATAGTAGAGACGGGGTCTCGCTCTTGCTCAGGCTGGTTTCGAACTCCTGACCTCGAGCAATCTGCCCACCTCGGCCTCTCAGAGTGCTAAGATTACAGGCATGAGCCACCGCACCCGGCTAAACCTGTAGGATTTAAATTCTTGAAGGCAGGGCCTTGTTTTGCCTCTAGTCGCATCCCTGCTGCCTAGAAGTGTGACTGGCATACAGTAGGCACTCAGCAAACATTTGTAGAGTGAACTAACACTTAGGCAAATGAGCAATTATGGGCCCTTTGCCAGGTTTGGGGTTTTCAAGGTGATACTACTCCTTTAAAACCTTGGCTGGCTGGCAGTTGGATGGCTCTTGGTTGACTCTGTTTTACTAATACATGTACCAGTGCCAAAAATCTCATGAAATCATAAACTTTGAGCATCCAAGGAGACTACAGGGAACTTCCAGGACTAGAATCATAGTGGCTTGGCTCAGTCTGGGGCAGTGAGGCTGGGTGCTCTGAGACGCACATGTGCCCTGCCGGGCAGTGCCCCTTATGGCTGAAGACCCTCACTTCTCTGTAGTTGAGGTACTAGGCAGTGGCCCTGAGACTGGGGTGTCCCTAAGTTCTCTGGCTTTTCTTTTCTTTTTTTTTTTTTTAAGACAGAGTCTCACTTTGTTGCCCAGGCTAGAGTGAGTGCTGTGGCGTCAGCCTAGCTCACAGCAACCTCAAACTCCTGGGCTCAAGCAATCCTACTGCCTCGGCCTCCCAAGTAGCTGGGACTACAGGCATGCACCACCATGCCAGGCTACTTTTTTCTATATATATTAGTTGGCCAATTAATTTCTTTCTATTTATAGTAGAGACGGGGTCTCCCTCTTGCTCAGGCTGGTTTCGAACTCCTGACCTCGAGCAATCCGCCCACCTCGGCCTCCCAGAGTGCTAGGATTACAGGTGTGAGCCACCGCACCCGGCCTTGGTTTTTCATAAATACCCCTATTTCAGTAGCCAGGGAACCACAATTTCAGAAGTAATGATTTAAATCTAGGAATAGCAGAAAATATGGTTGCAAAGGCAGCTGAGGTGTCCGCGATCATTTGACTCTCTGGCTTCAGACAGAAAGGGTTGTGTCCGATCAGTTTTTAAGGTAGCTACCTGGCATTAGCGCATGTCTACCTATCATAACGACTTATTGAATATCTCAAAGAGAAGCCAACATACTTTAATTTCATGACATTTTGTCACCAAGTCCCCTAAAGCTTCAGCTTTTGTAGGCACATGGGTTGAGCTTCAAGCGATGACAGATGACACTGCACAAAGACTGCCAGACCCCCAGCCTGGGGTGGGGGTCCTCACAGCTCGTGCCCTGCTTCTCCCCTCAGCTGGTTCCATGGTGTGGGGTCTTTAATTTAGAAATTCTCACTCCCATTGCTAATTTTGGAGATAAAACTATTTTGATTAGAAATATCAGAAACCAATTCTAGCAAGTTAAGCAAGAAGGTCAGTGTACTGGCAGGGTGTCCAGTGGCGTAGTGCCTGTAGTCCCAGATACTCAGGAGCCCAGGAGTTCAAGGTTCCAGTGAGCTATTATCCAGCCGCTGCCTGCGGCCTGGGCAACAGAGTGAGAACTTGTCTTTGAACAAAAAATTACTGACAGGGCAGTTGAGCATCTCGCAGAATCCAAGGACAGGAAGGCCACTGGCATTCAGGAATGAACTGGAAGCAGGAATTTAGACCAGCTCAGGGAAGGCTCACGTTGCTGTGTCTTTCTCTGTAGACCAGCTTCCTGTCTCTCCTTTACCAACAGGTCCAAGTTTTACTTATTAGAGGTCCGAACACCATATGACAAGCCTGTCCTTCCGGTTTCTGGGACCGGAAACTGCCGTGCCTCTCGTATGTCGTGGCGCTGTCCCCTCTGCGCCAGGAAGGCCTGCTTGCCCTGCCTCCTTGCAGTGCCTCTTGGGGTGCCTCTTGCCCCAGTCCCTGCACCCCTGCCAGGATTGCTCCATGACTTGGGGTCTTCCTCTCCAGTCCCTGCACCCCTGCCAGGATTGCTCCACGACTTGGGGTCTTCCGCTCCAGTCCCTGCACCCCTGCCAGGATTGCTCCATGACTTGGGGTCTTCCTCTCCTGTCCCTACACCCCTGCCAGGATTGCTCCATGACTTGGGGTCTTCCTCTCCAGTCCCTGCACCCCTGCCAGGATTGCTCCATGACTTGGGGTCTTCCTCTCCTGTCCCTGCACCCCTGCCAGATTGCTCATGACTTTGGGTCTTTCTCTCCAGTCCCTGCACCCTGCCAGGATTGCTCCATGACTTGGGTCTTCCTTCCAGTCCCTGCACCCCTGCCAGGATTGCTCCATGACTTGGTGTCTTCCTCTCCTGTCCCTGCACCCTGCCAGGATTGCTCCATGACTTGGGGTCTTCCTCCTGTCCCTCACCCCTGCCGGGTTGCTCCATGACTTGGGGTCTTCCTCTCCAGTCCCTGCACCCCTGCCAGGATTGCTCCATGACTTGGGGTCTTCCTCTCCTGTCCCTGCACCCCTGCTAGGATTGCTCCATGACTTGGGGTCTTCCTCTTCAGTCCCTGCACCCCTGCCAGGATTGCTCCATGACTTGGGGTCTTCCTCTCCTGTCCCTGCACCCCTGCCAGATTGCTCTATGACTTGGGGTCTTCCTCTCCAGTCCCTGCACCCCTGCCAGGATTGCTCCATGACTTGGGGTCTTCCTCTCCAGTCACTGCACCCCTGCCAGGATTGCTCCATGACTTGGTGTCTTCCTCTCCTGTCCCTGCACCCCTGCCAGGATTGCTCCATGACTGGGGTCTTCCTCTCCTGTCCCTGCACCCCTGCCAGGATTGCTCCATGACTTGGGGTCTTCCTCTCCAGTCCCTGCACCCCTGCCAGGATTGCTCCATGACTTGGGGTCTTCCTCTCCTGTCCTTGACCCTGTGCTGTCTGGTCTCCCGGTGGCAGGCAGCCAAAGTGGGCCCTCGAGAGCACGTCCCGGCAGGCCTCGGCGCTGAACTCTCCCTCCGTGTCTCTTCTTGTTCAGAGTCACCCAGGGGCCCTTCCATGGTCACCCCGCCCCTCAGCGCCCTTTCTCCGCCAGCCTCACTCTGCTCCCCCTCACTGGCCACCTACCATCGTGTCCAGCCTGCCTCTGCACACACTCCCCTCAGAAGCCCCGGGCGTTTCCCTGCTCCCCGGGGCCCCGGTCTGCCCGCCTGGCACCTCCTCTTCCCCTTCCTTTCTGAATTCTCTCTCCAGAGTATTCGCCACACTGCTAGCTGTGAGACTCACCCCATTCATCATCCTTCTCCTCCTCCAGGACTTAAGTCCCAGAGAACTGACATTTTAGTCTTCTGTTCACCACTGTGGCAGCAGACCTGGAGCAGCACCTGGCATTCAGTAGATGTTTTGTCCAGTGGATTCGTATGCAGCCAAGAGAAAGACTGGCCTCTCCCTCCCTCTCTCTCTCTTTTCTTCCCGCAAACAACATACCTGGAGGCAAGAAAGAATTTCGGGAGCAGTGAGGACTGTGAGAGCTGGGGGCCCTAAAGCAGCTGCAGGCAGGGGGAGGGGCTCCCGGAGCACAGGCCAGCCTCGGCTGGGAGCGGAGCTGGGGGCTCCCCTCGGCGCTAGAGCAGCCCCTCATCATGACTTCCACTCCCTGAACGCCATTCCCAGTGTTTTCCATATGTGACAATTAGAAATAAATCCAGAGACATAATACAGCTTGGTCTGTCGCTGGGTCTCATGAAGTTTAAAAAACACAGTTTAAGAGCCAAGGGTAACTTTAGAACATCTCAAGTATCTTATTGTGGTCCTTGGACTCTATGAGAGGGATTCCTAGGCCATAGCAACTCTCCTCAAACCCTCCCTGCCGACTCTGGCTGCCCTCAGCCCCGCACCGCCTGCGGCTCAGCCTGGAGCCTCTCCTGCAGCCTCGGGCTGGGCTCCGCCGCCTCGCACCCCTTCCTTCCTATCCGGGCCCAGGAGTACAAACGGTTGAGGATTCTGACTTGAATCCCAAAGGTCCAAAAGTTTTAGGAAGGGACAAAAATAGAGCAAGCAGACAGCATTAATCCATTAATAATGTTTGTCCACCAGGCGCGGTGGTTCACGCCTGTCATCCTAGCACTCTGGGAGGCTAAAGTAGGATTGCTCAAGGTCAGGAGTTTGAGACCACCCTGAACAACATAGCAAGACCTTGTCTCTAAAAAAAATAAGAAAAATTAGCCAGGCATGGTGGCACACACCTGTAGTCCCAACTACTTGGGAGGCTGAGGCGGGAGGATCGCTTGCGCCCAGGAGTCCAGGCCGCTGTGAGCTGTGCCTGTGCCACCGCACACCAGCCTGGGCAGCAGAGTGAGGCCCTGTCTCTAAAAAGATGTTTGTCCTGTCACATACATGTTTTTCACACCATGGGGTGAGTGTTGTTCTAGCCACTAGAGGGGAGCAAACTGCCACCCAGGAAAGTTGTGACTTGCTGGGAAGGCGGCTTAGGCCGGTTTGCACTGAAAACCCCTGCTCTGTCCATTCTGCTAGGGCCAGAGTCCGGGAGACGGACGCCACTCCTTCCCCTCGGCCAGCCTGGCAGCAGCTGCCCCAGAGTAAGCAGCCTTGTGTCCTGGGATCCGCCCACAGCCTCACCCCCGCAGGATGTCCCAGCAGGATCTGAGGTGAGCTCTGTCTCGCAGGACAGAGGTGCCGTGGTGACAGCACTTCCCTCGGTGCCTTCACTAGGTTCCTGAAGAATTGGCTGAGTCCTGGGGAAGGCAGGGAGACCCCTTCCCCAGGTTGACCACGCGTCCGTTTTGTTCTTGTGTGACGAGGAAAGCTTTAAGGCACTGAAAGCTTGTTTTACTTTACAGGCAGCTTTACTTGTAACGTGAATCAGAATAGGTAACATACACACATATGTTTTCATTATGTTACTTTTATTTTTTAAATTTTTTTTAATTTAATTTATTATTTTTTTTTGAGACAGGGTCTCGCTTTGTTGCCCAGGCTAGAGTGAGTGCCGTGGCGTCAGCCTAGCTCACAGCAACCTCAAACTCCTGGGCTCAAGCAATCCTTCTGCCTCAGCCTCCCGAGTAGCCGGGACTACAGTCTTGCGCCACCATGCCCAGCTAATTTTTTCTATATATATATCAGTTGGCCAATTAATTTCTTTCTGTTTATAGTAGAGACGGGGTCTCGCTCTTGCTCAGGCTGGTTTCGAACTCCTGACCTTGAGCAATCCGCCCGCCTCGGCCTCCCAGAGTGCTAGGATTACAGGTGTGAGCCACCGCGCCCAGCAATTTCTTTCTATTTATAGTAGAGACAGGTCTGGCTCTTGCTCAGGCTGGTTTTGAACTCCTGACCTCAAGCAATCCACCCGCCTCGGCCTCCCAGAGTGCTAGGATTACAGGCGTGAGCCACCACCCGGCCTACGTTACTTTTAAATGTTCACAATTTTATTTTGAAAAATGAAAAATTAGAAAAGTCAATTCAAAATTATAGTTTTATTTCATTCATATCATAAAGAAATAAGGCAAGTTTTTGAATATTATGATACATTTTATTCTATGATAAATTTCTAAGCATGGGGCTACACATAGGCCAACATTACATTGTTTATAATAGTATCTAGTACTACGCCTTTTATTATTTTGGGGACATACATACATCTTTTAATGGGTTTTTCCTTTTTGTTTTATCACTATTGTAAGGTGCTAGAAAATGCCTTTCTCTAAAACCGTGAGATTTTCTGATGCGGTGCAAGAGTTGCATTGCCTCGATTCGGAGCACCGGTGGAGAAGTTTTGTTATTAACGCTGAAGTCGACGCTCGGCTGTGCACCTTCATATCACGGCTGTCGGCTACAGTCGCTGTGCGCGGTCATCTGTGGCTGTCGACTAGTCGACACTGGTACCCAAGTGGTTAAGTCGCAGTCTATCTCTGTTGTCACAGAGTTGTTTGCTTATCAAGGGTCACTTGTGGAAAAACCTATCATCTACTCTTACCACTTCCAGGTAATCTGTCTCCAAATATTTAGCTCACAGTCTATCTCTGGTCTGAAAGATAAGAAAATTTTGCCAGGTCCAAGGAGTGTAAGAAAGACTTATTTCTACCTTCCCTCTTCCAAAACTCCTGTACTCACCAGGGCGAAGGGCCCACGTCACCTAAACTACGACGTCACTCTCAGCTAGAATCAGATCATCCCAGTGCTCTAGCCCGGGCATCTGTGCTGATTAGAAGACGTCATTATCAGAAATGTGTGTTCTTGGCCGGGCGCGGTGGCTCACGCCTGTAATCCTAGCACTCTGGGAGGCCGAGGCGGGAGGATCTCTCAAGGTCAGGAATTCAAAACCAGCCTGAGCAAGAGCGAGACCCCTGTCTCTACTAAAAATAGAAAGAAATTAATTGGCTAACAGAAAATATATAGAAAAAATTAGCCGGGCATGGTGGCGCATGCCTGTAGTCCCAGCTACTTGGGAGGCTGAGGCAGGAGGATCGCTTGAGCCCGGGAGTGTGAGGTTGCTGTGAGCTAGGCTGACGCCACAGCATGCTAGCCTGGGCAACAGAGTGAGACTCTGTCTCAAAGAAAAAAAAAGACACGCCTGTAATCCTAACACTCTGGGAGGCCAAGGCGGGTGGATCGCTCGAGGTCAGGAGTTCGAAACCAGCCTGACCAAGAGCGAGACGCCATCTGTACTATAAATAGAAAGAAATTAATTGGCCAACTGATATATATAGAAAAAATTAGCCGGGCATGGTGGTGCATGCCTGTAGTCCCAGCTACTCGGGAGGCTGAGGGAGGAGGATCGCTTGAGCCCAGGAGTTTGAGGTTGCTGTGAGCTAGGCTGATGCCACGGCACTCACTCTAGCCTGGGCAACAGAGTGAGACTCTGTCTCAAAAAAAAAAAATAAGAAAAGAAATGTGTGTTCTCTTGTCATTACCAACAGCTGCCATTTACGATTGCATTAGTTTATTTAGTCTTCACACGTGGCCTTAGCATCAGAGGGCTGAGGAGACAGCACAGGCAGGTTTGACTCAGCCCTTCCTGACTTTAGGCCAGAAACAGAGCTGCAGTTTATTTGTCTGGGCGGATAAAGAGTGGCGGGTGCCGGCCTGGGAGCTGGGGGAGGCCCAGGGAGGGACTTGCTGTGCCTGCAGCTGTGGGTCCCCAGGGGGCAGAGCTGGCCTTCCCAGAAGCCCCTGCACGTCCCAGCTCTGAGAGCCAAGATGCCTGAGCCCTGGTGAGTGCAGGCCTGTCCCCACCTGGCGCTGGGGCCTGGCGCTGGAGCCTGCATCGGGCTGGCGGGCTGAGAAGAGGGGTCTCTGGACACTCACTGGTCTGGTCACCGGCCGCCATCCTGCCCTGCTCCCCTCCCTGCTCCCCCTGGGGGCAGGCTGGCGCACCTCTGTAACCTGCCTGCCTCTCTCCCCACGGCCTAGTATCTCAGCAAAACTCATCAATGGAGGCGTGGCGGGGCTCGTGGGGGTGACCTGCGTGTTCCCCATCGACTTGGCCAAGACTCGGCTGCAGAACCAGCATGGGAAAGCCATGTACAAAGGAATGTAGGTGTCATGGGGGCTGGGGGTGAGGGTGGGGCGGGAAGGGGATCGGCTGGGAGCCAGCAGCGTAGGGCAGGGAGCAGTGACAGAGCAGCCCACCACTGACTTTTCTCACGGCCTCTGCTTCCAGGATGGACTGCCTGACGAAGACGGCGCGGGCCGAGGGCCTCCTGGGCATGTACCGAGGTGGGCTCCTCAGGCAGGGCCTGGGCCGGGGGGACGGCAGGCGTGACGCAGAGGCTCGGGTTCTGCGAGCTTGTGGGACTTTGGGAATTGGTGTTCCTTCTGCCGAGGAGCTGGTGGGATGACCTTGGGCTGCCTGATGTCTTTGGTAACTTTTCACAGGCCTTCCGCCCTCTGGTGGAGACAGAGGTAGCTATGTTTCTGGGGGAGGCTTCCGGAGACCTCAGTGAGCACACCGGGCCCAGCGCCCGCGTCCCCCGGCTCCACACGGCCTCCCTGCGGGCATGAAAAACCAGTGGGCCCCACGGCTCTGCCTCCCTCTTCGTCCTTCCCTGGCACCTCCCTGCCTGTCTCCAGGACATCCAGCTACTGAGAACAGAAGTGGGAGAGGCTGACAGGGACAGAGCATGGCAAGGAGTACAGGGTGGCTCTCCCCGGGCCGTGTTCCCACCGCGACTGTGCTGTGGGAAATGGACCCAAAGCTGGAGCTGACACAGAGCCAGTACGCCAGTACCCCTGAGAAATAAGATAAAACCTCCGGGAACTGCCACGCTGCCAGTGGGACTGGGCCGGCGTAGCACAGGGCAGCTGGGACCCTGTCCCTGAGGCCCAGGGGCCTGTCACCGGGAACCACTTATCAGTGGAGGTGGCAGGACCAGCAAGGAAGGACAAAAATAACGTGGCATCTTGATAACTGGACTGAGTCCACAAAGCAACAGATACATAAAAAGGAGGAAAATGCGGCAGGGAAAGGGAACGAGAACAAAAATTTATTCAATAAAAGGGGCCACGGAGCCCTCTTGCCGCAGATACCCCGCCAAGTGCCTGGCTGAGCACACGACGGGGTGGCCCTGACACTGCGTCTTCGCCCTTCACTTCCAGGGGCTGCGGTGAACCTGACCCTGGTCACTCCGGAGAAGGCCATCAAGCTGGCAGCCAACGACTTCTTCCGGCAGCTGCTCATGGAAGATGGGTATGGCGGGTGGGGCGGGGACGGAGGCCCTCGCTGCGTCTGGGTCCTGGGCGAGGATTGCGACGCGCCTCTCCCTGCGGCGCGTGCTCACGGCATGTGGGTGAGGGTCTGTGCTTTGGCGCTGAAGGGTAAAGGGAGAGAACGAGCTGGCAGTTGGGGTGGTAGATAATATATAGAACAGAGTACAGATATGGTCGTCAGCTAGCTGATGCATCTGCAAAAATCACTTTCTGTTTCTCTCTGTGCCGCCCCTTCCCCGCGATAGTAACTAAGGGACCAGGGAGATCAAACCCCTGCCTTGGGCAGTTTCACGGCTGCTGTTTTCAGCTTGTGTGGGTGCTGCCTCCCCGGCAGGCTCTCCATTTAGTCTCCGTCTGTAGGAGGCTGAGCCTGAGGGCCAGGTGATGACGTGCCCTGCGGGCGAGTGGCAGCCAAGGATGACAGGGCTAAACGTCCGTGCCCCTGACCCCTGCTCCACAGGCTGCAGCGGAACCTGAAGATGGAGATGCTCGCCGGCTGTGGCGCTGGAGCGTGCCAGGTGGCGGTCACTTGCCCCATGGAGATGCTCAAGATTCAGCTGCAGGACGCCGGGCGCCTGGGTGAGGCCTGGCCCAGCTTCCCACACACCCACTCCCCACCCTCATCTGCTAGACTGCGTGACCAGGCAGCATTCTAAGTCAGCAGAAGCCTATTTTTGGTGACATCTTTCAACACTGCCAGATCTAGAATAAATAGCACAAATGAGAATCTTGATTCAGAGAGACAAAATATACTGAACACTTCTATCATATTTCCTTGATATTTAGGCTTAATTTCCTAAGGATTTTAAGAAACGTCCACAATCTGCTTGCTAAACACCTCTGTCAGGGGTAGTGGAGCCGGCCCGCGCCAGGAAGGCATCCCGCGGGAGAGCCATTCCTGTTCTTTTGATTTTCCCTGGAAGAGAAGTTTGGCCCTTTCTAAATCCAGGTCCTCCCTGAAGCAGAGGGTGGTGTAGACACCAGCACGCACAGTAAGAGCAGGGCCAGAAACCGCAACGTCTGAGCCGAGTAAGCTGGCGTGTGGTGGGCCCGACACAGCGCCTGACAGGCAGGAGTCAGTCCTCAGTAAGCCCCTCCTCAACTCAGCTGTGCACGCGCTGTGCTGGAACCCAGCCGGGTCTCTGCACTGGGTCAGACTGTCCCAGGCAAGTAAAGCTGCAGGAAGAACACAGCGAGGCACTGGACAGCCTTACTGGGTCTCCATCCACAGAGAGTAAAAGCCTAGTTTTTTGACCTGGGTAAGAAGTTTTAGTATCCCTAAAACATTTAAAAATAAGTAAAAAATAGAATATGGGTGACTTGTGTGCATCTGAAGATGACAATGGGGAAAATGATGCTCCTATTGATTAACTTGTTGAAGTTGATTGGGGCCTGCACCTAGATGATCACTGTAAGAAAACACGTGCAGCCGTGAGGCTTCCTAGTGTGGGACGTGGCCCCGCTGGCACCAGTCAAAGCTGCAACATCAAAATCTTCTCAGACGCTGAGAGTTACGAAAATAAATATTCACACAATCTCAGTGCATTAAATCCTGTGGTCATTAACAGGACTCACATTTTATTTTATTTTTATTTATTTATTATATATATATATTTTTTTTTTTTTGAGACAGTCTCGCTTTGTTGCCCAGGCTAGAGTGAGTGCTGTGGCGTCAGCCTAGCTCACAGCAACCTCACACTCCTGGGCTCAAGCGATCCTTCTGCCTCAGCCTCCCGAGTAGCTGGGACTACAGGCATGCGCCACCATGCCCGGCTAATTTTTTCTATATATATTAGTTGGCCAATTAATTTCTCTCTATTTATAGTAGAGACGGGTCTCGTTCTTGCTCAGGTTGGTCTGGAACTCCTGAGCTCAAACGATCCACCCGCCTCGGCCTCCCAGAGTGCTAGGATTACAGGCGTGAGCCACCGCGCCCAGCCAGGACTCACATTTTAAATGCTCAGGAAAAGTAATTCCATTCTAATTACTAGATATTGAACTTATCAAATGATGGGCTCTGACTTATTCAACTACAAGGAGCTGGCATCCAAAGAATGAAATTCTGCCAAAGGTGAAGGGCAGAAAGAGCCTGTCCCCAACACTGGAGCACGAGGCTGGTGGCCCTGGAAGTCAGAAGGCGGATGTGCCTCTTCATGACCTCAGAGACACCTGGAGTCCCTCTGTCCCAATGTGCTTAGAGCGTGAAACAATCTGCCTAGACTCAGACAGTTTAGAAATGGAAGACAGGAGGACAAGGAACCCAGGGGGGCCGCAGGCCCTGGGGCTGCGTCCATTCGGCCAGGCAACTCGGTAGAAAATGTGGACTGAGGAAAGATTTCCTTAGACCCAAAAATTAATGTTGTAAAATTAGGACAGTCTTCACCCTTGCCTCTGAATTGTCCCAAGGATAGGAGTGGAGTCGCCCTCTTGGGAGTATCTGGCCGCACCTGCCCGGGCCCGGGTTGTGACAGAGTCTGTCCTTTCCTGCCAGCCGTCCGTCACCAGGGTGCGGCCTCAGCACCGTCCTCCTCCGGGCCCTACACGACCGGCTCGGCATCCACCCACAAGCGCCCTTCTGCCACCCTCATCGCCTGGGAGCTGCTCCGCACCCAGGGTGTGGCTGGTCTCTACAAGGGGCTGGGTGCCACCCTCCTCAGGTGAGCCTTTCTTCCTGCCCTGGGCACACTGCCAGGCCTGTTTCCTGGGACCAGTGCACAGGGGGAGGGGATGGGGGGCCGGAGGATTGCTGCCTCGGCCTGCCTCTGAATTCTTCTAAGAATATTCCAGCCCAGGTCAGCAAGCTGTTTCCATGCTTCCTGTGTCATCCAGAATTGGCCATGGTCACACAGAATGGGTACCTGGAAGACCAAAGATTGTAGCCCCTTCTCCAGTGACTAGGCCAACATGAGGATTGGGTTTTGTGCCCAGCATTAAGAGGCACTTAATGCTGTCTGCAGAAAATGCACTGCAGAAAATGCACGAATACATGCATGAATATGCCCCCAGTCCAGTATGCATCTTGGCCGGTACGTTCCCTGCCGGGCTCCCGGCACCTGCCCAGGACGAGTTACTGTGAATCTGCGTCCAACTCCTCACGAAGCGGCTGCAGTGCTGTAGGGCAGAGGAATGAGCTGGCAGGGAGGGATGGAAGACAACAGGCTGTTTCTCTTATGCTGCCCATCACCCTACGTCATCTGGGAGGCCACAGTCGGAACACGTCTGTGGCTCACCTCTGACCCATGAGTGGCCCAAAGCTCACGGGAAAGGCTCACTGACCCTGGGTGGAGCCCGGAGCTGCACGTAGTTCAGTGTTTCTTCCTTCTCTTCCGCAGAGATATTCCCTTCTCCATCATCTACTTCCCATTGTTTGCCAACCTTAACAACCTGGGGTTCAACGAGCTTACTGGAAAGGCCTCTTTTGCTCACTCCTTTATGTCGGGCTGTGTTGCAGGCTCTGTGGCTGCTGTCACAGTGACACCTCTGGACGGTAAGGACATGGCAGATGTAGGGGCTGGGAATCTGGGTTCCAAGGTTGACTTGCTTTATTGATCAGGCATTTGTCTGTGGTTAAACAGAACTTCTGCACTTTCACGAGTGATGAAACTGCCCAACCCTGATAACCCTCTTGGGTTGCAATCTGTGCTGCTAGCGACAGCTCACCAAAGGTCCTCAAGAGAAAGTGGGGCCATGGAGACCTTCCCTGTTTCTTATCACTGACAAATCCCCTCCCCCTGGTGCTGATCGCACTAGCTTTGTCCCACAGCAGAGCTGTGAGCCTTCGCTCACATGATTAAGGCAGGAACTAAGCCCTACATGAGAAGACGGTGCTGCCCGTCTTTAGGGCTGCCTCCAGCTCCCCGACCGCAGGTGGACTTCCCATAGCGAGAGCCACTTGAAGCAACCTCGTTCATTTCATAAATGAGGCTTGGAGAGGAAGATCTCCTGTTACAGGTTGTTTGCACAGTTCAGTTTAGCATACGACGGTTCTAAAAGGGAACCCAGCCACTTCGTGTTGATGGGAGGGCACTAAAGGCAAGATGGTCACTGCTTGTTTTAACTTCTGCTTGATTTAGTTCTGAAAACTCGAATCCAAACCCTCAAGAAAGGCCAGGGTGAGGACATCTACAGTGGGATTGCCGACTGTGCCAGGTGAGAGCCCAGGGCCCGCAGGCCGCGGCGGGGCAGGGTCCTCTGCAGGGGTGTCTGCCTCTAGGGACTGACTTCGTTGCTGAGCTCTGGGTTTCTCTGAAATGTCTCATCCCTCACCTCTCAAAAAAACCTAGATGCTCTGGGTGATTTTTTCTTCTTCCTTGCATCCCTGCAGCATCTCTCCCACGAAGATTCTAGGCAGTTTGAGCCTATTTCCCAAGGCCTTGGCCCAATTGCTAAGGAACCAAACTACATGGCCTAATGGGTGAGGGGCTCCCACACACCGGGCATCTCCTCTCAAGGGGATGTGCACGCATTTGAGAAGTGGTCACCGAGGACCCAGTGCAGGGTGCCCTGCCCCTCTGCTCATGGCTCTTCCTTCCCTCCAGGAAACTCTGGAATCAGGAGGGACCATCCGCCTTCACAAAAGGAGCAGGATGCCGGGCCCTGGTCATAGCTCCTCTCTTCGGGATTGCTCAAGGCGTTTACTTCATTGGCATTGGAGAGCGCATCTTAAAGTGTTTTGAGTAGATAGGCCTGGAGCTCAGTCCCTGTGCTCACGGCCACCTCGGTAGCCCCCTCTATTTAGTCTAGAGGGATAAGTGTAAGATGGCCCACCCACAACGTATCTTGTCCTCTAACTTGTAGCGCTACCTCAATCTCAGAAGAAACAACCCCATTCTAATAAGTGAGTTGAGCATAGCCGTATTCTACGTTTCCTTTGGGGGTACACCTACTAGGGACTTTCAGAAGCCCCTAACCCACCTGCTTTACAATGACAAAAACAGCACTTGCTTTGGATCTATTAATTGCCAAACCGTAACAGGTAGCAAAGATGAAAGTGTTGTTTCTATATTTTAACATTTCTATTTCATACTCAAATTTAGCATACTTCAGTCCGTTCGAGGATTTAGTTTTGTTAATCTTGAATTAAATAACTTGTGGCTAGTCCTAGCACTGACTTTGGGGAAAATGAGGATCAAAAGTTCCAGAGGACCATGAAAGCCCTCATCTGAAACCATACACGCCCTCCCGCACCTCAATGGCTGAGGAGATGAGGCTGGCTCCGTGGCGCAGCCATCACGCCCCGCACCCTCCTCCCGGGCACGGGCTCTCGCCAACCCCCTCCCCGTGTCTGCGGAACACGATCTTAAAGTTGAATAGTTCAATCTTGTCTAGTAGTCAGCAGGCAGCACAGACAGGCTGCAATGACCAGATCTGTCACCTACCTTTCCATATCCACTTCAGAACTAACTAGATTAAAGAGCCCTGATGCAGGTCACGATCATGCTTCAAACTGTTACTTATGGGGACAGAGAACAGCCACAGGGATGTTTTATTTCTAAGTTAGTTACACTGGGCTTTGAGTTTGGACCTATCACTTTGTAACCACTTCATCTTGAGGGGTGGACTTTGCTGAGACAGCTCTCCTGCTCGAGGCTGCTACGGAGAAGAGAAAGAACTGCCACACACAGGTCGAGTCCCAAGGAAGAAACAGGTACTGCAGGAGTCAGTAATTTTTTTTGGGGGGGGGGTGTGTGAGGGAGACAGAGTCTTGCTCTGTTGCCCGGGCTAGAGTGCCATGGCGTCACCCTAGCTCACAGAGACCTCAAACTCCTGGGCTCAAGCAATCCTCCTGCCTCAGCCTCCCGAGTAGTTGGGACTACAGGCATGCGCCACCATGCCTGGCCAATTTTTTCTATATTTTTAGCTGGCCAATTAATTTCTTCCTATTTTTTTTTTTTGAGACAGAGTCTCACTTTGTTGCCCAGGCTAGAGTGAGTGCCGTGGCATCAGCCTGGCTCACAGTAACCTCAAACTCCTGGGCTCAAGCAATCCTACTGCCTCAGCCTCCCGAGTAGCTGGGACTACAGGCATGCGCCACCATGCCCGGCTAATTTTTTTTTTTTTTTTGTATATATATTTTTAGTTGGTCAATTAATTTATTTCTATTTTTGGTAGAGACGGGGTCTCGCTCAGGCTGGTTTCGAACTCCTGACCTTGAGCAATCCACCCGCCTCGGCCTCCCAAAGTGCTAGGATTACAGGCGTGAGCCACCACGCCCGGCAATTTCTTACTATTTTTAATAGAGATGGGTCTCGTTCTTGCTCAGGCTCATCTTGAACTCCTGACCTCAAGCCATCCACCTCGGCCTCCCAAGAGTGCTAGCATTACAGGCGTGAGCCACTGTGCCTGGCCAGGTATTTTCATTAATCCCCACTTACCTAAAACTTGGGTTAATGAGGAAGAAGATGGGGCTAAAATGGTCAGCCTTGGTAGCCTCACTCTCTATTAAGAGATCTTGAGTACAGGCTCCTGATACAGACCTCACTCTTGCTAGCCGTGGCAGCTCTTAGTTACCCACGGAAGCAACAAAGCACGGGGAGAGGACACAGGGCCTCAATAAGGATTTGGGCCCAGCACATAGTAACCCCCCAAAACACTCTGCCAAAACTAGTAAAACTATTTCCTCAATAAAGCTATACAGGCTGGGCGCGGTGGCTCACGCCTGTAATCCTAGCTCTCTGGGAGGCCGAGGCGGGCGGATTGCTCAAGGTCAGGAGTTCGAAACCAGCCTGAGCAAGAGCGAGACCCCGTCTCTACCATAAATAGAAAAAATTAATTGGCCAACTGATATATATATATATATAAAAAAAAATTAGCTGGGCATGGTGGTGCATGCCTGTAGTCCCAGCTACTCGGGAGGCTGAGGCAGAAGGATCGCTCGAGCCCAGGAGTTTGAGGTTGCTGTGAGCTAGGCTGACGCCATGGCGCTCACTCTAGCCTGGACAACAAAGTGAGACTCTGTCTCAAAAAAATAAATAAATAAAAATAAAGCTATACAACCCTTCTAGAGGAGAGGCAATGCCCAAAGTCCCTGTGTGGAAGACGGTGATGGGCTGGGCAAACACCATCAGGCGTGATCTGCCAAAACTGAGCAGGAAGACCAGAGGACACCCACAGGGTTACGGGTTTCAGTACTGACAGCTATAAATCGTCAAATGCTATAGGGGCTTGAAAAATACTAGTATTTCTTTTCTAGGTACCTCAGTAAGAACTTTACTCCTCAAATCATAAATTTGTAGTACCTTACATAAGAAATTACAATTGAATCCACATAAATCTTTTAATAAATAAAGCATATTCATGGCTTAGGTTTCAAATCACATTTACAGATGAGGAAAATGTCTATGCCGAAATAGGTGACAGTGAAGCTACTACTGCTGGGAGGAATGCGTGTGCCACATGAGTTTTAAGCCTAAAGAACAGAGACTTCAAGGCAGAGAACACCATACATGTCACCCTCTAGACTAGATAACTGGGAGCTGGGGAGGAGGAGGAGACTTGGCGAAGTTCATGCAGCCGCCACCTGACCCCTCACCCAGCGCTGTGGGGCCAGCTGGGAGCTGTTATTCTGAGACGAACTGGAGGTGGGTCCTGGTCACAGCAAGCGGAACGCTCTCCCACTGTTAGCAACTAGGCCAAGGGCATCAGCCACAGAAGGGCACCCACTGATAAACACAGAGCAACATTAGGACAGCAGAGAGGGAGCTACACAGACACTCTCGCTTCTTTAAATATCAGAAGCTTCCATATCGTAGCCGTAGAGTAGTGGGTGGACTCCGTGTCCCAAAGGCCTAGTCCAAAAATTTCCGATTGGCATTTGCACCGAACAGGGCTCCCCGTACTTCTGGCATCATCTGTGAACACAAAATTTAACAAACATGCAATGTTAATGTGAGAACTTATAAAAAGAACTGCATCTCTTAACTACATGCAGAAAGACATTAACCTCTAACATGGCTGGGAAGGAAATCAAAAGCAAAATGTATCAGATCTGCCCTTCACTTAGCTGAAGCACTGTAACAAAATCCTTGGTGAGAAACTTAACTAATCCCAAATTTGGGGGTAAGACTGCTTATGAAACGGACAAAGAAAAAAAAATTAAAAATCTGAAGTCATTACTGTCTAAGGCCTGTTATATTGTGATATTGGTAGAACAGATGGGTCCATTAACGGTATTATCTCATCATAATATTCTGGGCCAATTATATTCTCTCTTTCAATAAACATTTATCAAGTGCCTACTGTGCCAGGAGTGACCACACAGAATATTTATAATGCAAATGTGGGCTGAAGCACTTGTAACAACTAGGAAATCCTTAAGAGAATTTAACCTCAAACTTGTAACGCTGTGCTGTCAAATATGGTAGCCACTACATGTGGTTACTGTACACCTGAAAGGTGACTAGTAAGATGGAGAAACAAAATTTTACAATTTTAATCAAAGTATGACCCGGTACGGTGGCTCACACCTGTAATCCTAGCACTCTGGGAGGCCGAGGTGGGAGGATCGCTTGAGCTCAGGAGTTTAAGACCAGCCTGGGCAAGTGAGACCTCATGTCTAACTAAAAAATAGAAAAAATTAGCCGGGGATGGTGGTGCATGCCTGTAGTCCTAGTTACTCGGGAGGCAGGAGGATCGCTTGAGCCCAGGAGTTTGAGGTTGCCGTGAGCTAGGCAGATGCCACGGCACTCTAGCGCAGGCAACAGAGGCGAGACTCTGTCTCAAAAAAAATAAATAAATAAATAATCAAATATCTACAAGTGGCTACTGTATCAGACAGGACAGTGGCTACTAGAAAACATAGCTCTAAGGTTTATGTGACCAGAATATGATACTCAAGGTGAAAGTGTTTCAGTTATAAGACTAGAATTTGCATAAACAGTGAACTGCACTTCTAGGTCAGGGAACAACTAGGTTAGCAGTCACAGCAGAAGACTACCACTGCTACAAGATGCCCAGCAGTTTAGAACAGGTGGAATTTTCCTGGCTTGTTTCCTGGAGTTCATCTATACAAAAAAATCTGGGAACATCTGAAGAGCCAGCAGCCTTAGGATAATTCCTCTCAACAAGTTTCTACTCTGGTTCACATCAGTCCTGCCGGAGAAAGACCTCAGTCCGCATCTCATGTAGGATGTACATGTTAGAATCCTAGGTAAACAAAATCTTCATCTGACCCCAAATCCTCCCTCAGGCAAATTGTATTATCTCAGCAATGCCACTACATGCCTGATCCTCATTCTTTTTAAGAAAACATAAAGAATATGGAATGAGAGTGACAAATCCTAAATGCCAGTGAATGGACAGGTGTTCTCTGTGCCACTTAAAGCTGGCGGCCGACCAGCTCCTGAGAGGTGTTCACCCTCACACTCACCTGCTGGGCTATGAGGTCCAGCCGGCTTTCTAGGGTATTGGAAACCTTTATTTTACGATCTCCATTATAGATCTCAACGCCACCAGCTCTACAAAGAACACAGGAAATAACAGTTTTTATAGATTTCAGAAGACAAACACATGGTACATTTACTTTATTCCCTTAGAAGAAAGCTACCTTGGTGTGTGGAGTGCACGACATAAGCAATAGGTCTGAAGTAAATTCAACAAGTTTATGAGTATTTATAGTCAGTTGGTTCCAGGACTGCAGGTACCAAAATCCACAGATGCTCAAGTCCCTTATATAAAATGGTGTAGTATTTGCATATAACCTACACTATCCTCCTGTATACTTTAAATCACCCCTAGACTAATAAAAGTAGCTAATACAGTGTAAATGCTATGTAAATAGTTGTCATACTGTATTGTTTAGGGAATGAAAAGAAAAAAACATTTCCACAAATTCAGCATACATACAAAATATTTTTAATTGTAGTTGACTGAACTCATGGATGGGGAACCCAGATAGAGGGCTGACTATATTCTTGTTGATATTAGATCATTAAATATGAAATGTCCAATTTCGAATCAAATGACCAGGTTTCATGAAGCTGTAGTGGATAATACCAGCATTGAAACACCAGACACCATTAGCTTTTTTTTGATGAATATTCAGTTTTGGACTGTATTTTGGCACTTCATCTTTATCCAACCATTGTGCCAAATGCTTGCAATCGTCAAAAAGAATCCATTTTTTATCACACTTAACAAATATGGCGTAGAAATGGTTTACTTTTATGTCGTGACAACAAAGAAAGGCAAGCTTTGAGACAGTTTCTCTTCTGATATTATCTACCTTGGTCTCAGGTCACCCACATGGCTCATTTTCAAGATTAAAATCACCAGAATGGAACTTCTCAAACCACTGACATACTGTGCATTCATTAGCCACATCTTTTCCAAACACTTCGTTGATATTTTCAATTGCCTGTGCTGCACTGGTTCTGTGACAAACACTCATATTGAAAAATGAGGCCGGGCGCAGTGGCTCACGCCTGTAATCCT